CCAAAGACTAAAATAAAAATAAATAAAAATTACTAAGGTTTTGCAGCCGGGCCGAACAATCCTTGATTGTCTTAATGTAGCCTTTAATGAGTACATTAGCTATTTTAATAAGCTGTATCGGTCGACAGCCGCTCGCAAAAGTTGATATCGCCAGCTCAACGTCAGTGGACAGAACGAAGAAATGTAGTTCTGGGGAGTTACATATGGGACAAGGAGAGTAGCAGCGTGCACCGCCTTTTTCCTTAGAGTGAATGCGATATTGAAACACGCAAAAGCCACCGCGCGGCGGCGCTGATAATCACGCCAGCCTTTAACTGTGCTGAGGAGCTTGACGTCACGATTGCGACGGAGGGAGCTCCTATGACGCATCGAACGCTTCGATGGCCGATTTCGGAATGCTCGCTAAAATCGGGAGCTTGAAAGAGAAATATAGTCATGCGCTCAAAATACGACCGCGCGATTGTCATTTACGGATATCATAGGTCATATTTCATCCATTTCGGAAAAGCTTCCGTGTATTTTGATTTTCGTCTCTGTACCCCTTTAAACATGTATAATCCGCGAAAAAATATGGCAAATGATGCGTTCTGCCGTCGCAGTGGTGGATTCGTCGGGCAAGCTGCCCAACGGCCTGATGTCCGGAACGGCGGTGTCCTTGGGCCACTTCGACCAGTGCCTGGACATCGAGGCGGGAGACGCCTTCCGCGGACAGTTCTGCAACCTCGAGCTCTGGCTCCGGGACCTGCCCAGGCCCAGCCCCAAGGCCGAAGACGTCATCCCGGACGGGGACTCGGTGAGGCCCTCTGTCGCGCCTTCCTCTCCATGCACTCTCGGCATCTACTGCACGTGTACAAAACAGTAACAGGCATTTTGCAAAGCGCGCAGTGCCTTTTGCGTCGCCAAAAGGAATGGTGGGAACTAACTGCATAAAACCGGCTGTAGTGAACGACGAAGCGACGTTAGAGGTGACGGGAAGATTCACAGAAAGTGCCCAGGCGAGCGGGCATCGCAGGCCACCTTCTTTCCAAACACTTCACAAGGGATATACAGTCATTACACCTCGCTCCGGAAAAATCCAAATGACCTTGGAGCGGACAAGCTTTGCGTTGTTGGAACGGCTGGACACGCCGCATCCTTATTTATTTCAAAATACTGCGACCTCGATGAGGTCATCGCAGGAGTGGAGAGAAAATATACATATACATTCAAAAAGGCCATCGATACCCCTTGGGGGGTATTGTTTCTTTTAAACGGGTTCGGTGGCTGCCGCCATTTTTCGTCGTGGACACTCGAGTGCCAGTCGAGACAGCCATTTCTGCTGTCTTGACGAACCCGGTATCTCGGCGTTGCAGGGGAGCCCTCTCCCTCGGCACCGCGCGACCGCATGGACAGCGTGATCCGCATACGCTCTTTCGGGTGCAAGGTGCTCCCACACCGCTACGGGAGGTCACGCTGTCTAATACAATTGAGTTGATGGGAATGTATTCTCCCTAGTAAGGTATTGCTCTCTCTCTCCCTCGCTCTCGCTCTTCAGTATCGTGTGGTAGATACTGCGAAGGCAAGGGGAAGCGTACAGGAGGTTCCCACAATTCGTTGCGCGCTGCGCCCGCAGTTTTTATGCATGTTTTGCAAAAGGTTGATTAGCTCGAAACAACGCCAATAATCCTCGCAATCTGATTGGCTGCAGAGAGACAATAAGGAACTCGGGCCTCGCCCCGCCCTGCGTTTCTAAACCCTACAATGCATGCCTTTGTATTTTTATATAAAATTATTTAGAGTGTTTTCAATTATAATACATGATTGTAAAAATGACTTTTAAAAGTTTATTCAATTTTTGGACTTGAAAAACGAAGAAATACTTTATGTATCACATCTGATACACGATCCATTGGTGCCTTATGGGTTCAGGAAGCGGCGAAAGAAGTTTTGTCTTTGTTCAAGCACAGCGGTACACCGCATTTCTCGCAGTTCTTAAACGTGAGGGATGCACATGCAGTCATAGAAGCTGGGGTTTCGACGCAAATGTGGCCGGTGTCAGCAAGCCGTGCATCTGAGCGCCGAGCAGCCGAATATAGAGAAGTCGTTTTGAGACAGGTGACACAAGACGTGTATCGGATGTAATACCGCGTGCATTCGCGTCGACTCTGCTCTGCTAATTTTAGGAAGCGGTTGCCTATTCTCAATCGTTGAACTGATTAAAGAACAAAAACAAAAGAAAAGACAGTGCTTGGCGCTGTTCAGTCAGAAGCTCATAAGAGCGTGACAGTTTTATATTTCTTTTCGCAGGCTCTGTCTTTCTTCTACGACAACGGTTACTGGCTCAAGCTCTTCCCGATGCGGTTGGGAATTTGCATTCCTTCGGCGTGCAGCGCGGATGACCTCCAAAGAATGGCCACACAAGGTAACGCGGATGGTGTCCCACATTTCCGAATATTGCAGCACGTTAGTGCGTCGCGGGAAATCAACAGTAGAATTGAATATAGTTTGCCACATCATGTACGGTATAATGTATGATCAGTTAATCAGTTGATCTTCAAAAATATTACATTTGTTAGTAAATTAGACTAACACTTTTTTTTTCTTCAGTTATCATGAGCAAAGACAATTACAGGCAGACACTCAAGACTGCTTATGGGGTGTAGGAAGGCAAAAGCATTATAGTCCCGCGAAAGAAATGTTTTCGAGCAATGTTTCTACACGTAATAAAGTTTAGGACGATGTATAGGACGATGTATAGGACGATGTATAGACCCTTTCAGGCAACATTTCATGGGCGCTGCCATCTTGACATTACGTGACCCTGCCGCCATAGCCGCCCTTCAGTTTCTCGCCGTTCCTCCGCGTTGTGTGCTGCACCGGCCACTGCGGAGCTTTGTTTTCGCGTTCTTTTACGTTCCGCGTTGAAATCGTGTATTTTCTTTAGGTCTTTTAGATATTTCGGGCTTTCATTTCATCATTTGATATCTATATTTCAACATGTCTCTTGTATTTTCTTATTTATGGAATGGAATCAGACAGCGAGTGGATCGACGATACAAGATTATGGCTTCAGAGACCATGTAAGTTCATCCCATTCTAACGTTTTTCTCGCTAATAAAAGGCAGTGAACACCATCGCGACATATGCAAATTTCAACTGACGCAGTAAGGCTATCCAGTCGTGCTTCTCGCCGCATGAGCGCGCTCGTTTCCGTAAAGCCAACCCGCATGTAAGCGATTTAGCGTGCGACGAGACTAGCGACGGCGACACCGACGAGAGTCAGCGACGAAGATTTCTCACTGTCGCCTGTTGCAACGCTCGGTTTTTTGGGATTTCTAGAAAACGTCGCTCACCGTCTTGGTCGCTTGCTCCCGTCGCTTCCATGCGGTTCGCCTCGTCGCGCGACTGCCCGAGCGACGGCGAAGCGGGTCACCGTCGCTTCTCTCGTTGCTTGTCGAATCGCTTGCATGCGGTTTATACTTAATATTGAGGCGCCAATGGTTCAATGCTGTATGCATGGAAATTAATTAAGTATAAACCGCATGTCAGCGATTTGGCGAGCGACCAGATAAGCGACGGCGACCCGCTTCGCTGTCACTCAGTCAGTCGCGCCACGAGGCAAACCGCATGGAAGCGACGAAGCGAGCGACGAAGACGGTGAGCGACGTTTTCTAGAAATCCCAAAACGGAGCGATGCGACGGGCGACAGTGAGAAATCTCCGTCGCTCGTCTCGTCGCACGCTAAATCGCTTACATGCGGGTCGGCTTTTCGGAAACGAGCGCGCACATGCCGCGAGAAGAACGACTGTGATAGTCTTACTGCGTCAGTTGCAATTTACATATGTCGCAAGAGTGTTGACTGCCCTTTATTAACGACAAAAACGTAAGAATGGGATGAACTTACATGGTCACTGAAGCCTCCTAATCTTGTATCGTCGACCCATTTGCTGTCCGATTTCACTCCATAAATAAGAAAATATAGGGGCTATGTCAAAATATAAATATCACATGATTAAATGAAAGTCCTAAATATCGAAAAGACCTAAAGAAACTACAAGATTTCAACGCGGAACGTAAAAGAACACGAAAACGAAGCTCCGGTAGTGGCCTGTGCAGCACACAACGCGGAGCAACGGCGAGAAACTGAAGGTCGGCTATGGCGGCCCGGAAAGCGCGCGAAGGGCGCGCCGACTGGTGGCAGCTCAAGTAACTGACTCGCTGAAAGCGTCTATCGGACGATGTCCTTAAAAACGACGTCAAGAACGACATCTAGGACGACCAGCACGACGTCGAGAACGACGCCTAGAGAAGGACACTGAAGGAGGCTGTGGAGTATTTGCATGGGCGGCCATGTTTGCCTGCGGAAGCAGCCGTAGATGTAAACCCTGCTGCCGATGTTGAGGCCGTAGATATAGACGCGGTCGCCTCACAGTCCATCGCACGAAGCACACAACGAGCACAAATGAAGTCCGAAGCGCACCTTTTGCACACGGCGCTCCAGCGGTGACATCGCGGTCCCATACTTGAGCGTGAGCGTCAGAGGCGCGTGCTTGATGACGCCTTCTGACGGCCGTCTTTCGAGCACAACGACGCCGCTTTTTCGCGTAATGGGACAAGTAAGGTCATCCTAGATGTCTAGGGCTACCTCTAGGTACACCTCAAGGACGATGCCAAGGACAGCGTCGTCCTTGAGCATGCGATTGAGCGGCGCGTGCCGCTCAATCGTATTTTTTTGGCCATATACGCCGTTCTTTCGCTCAATAGGACAAGTAAAGCTTTCGCCTTAATAAACAAGAAACAAGCAAAATACAAAAAAAAAAAAGCCCATCGAGATGCGTTCCGATGAGAAATCTATCCGTTGTTTATCTTTAAGCGAAAGCCTTACTTGTCCCATGGAGCGAAAAAGCGGCGTATACGGCCATAAAATTTTGATTGAGCGGCACGCGCCGCTCAATCATATGCTCAAGGACGACGCTGCCCTTGGCGTCGTCCTTGAGGTCATCCTACAGATCGTCCTAGACCTCAAGGACGACCTTACTTGTCCCATTACGTGAAAATGCGACGTCGTTGTGCCCCAAAGATGGCAATAAAAATACGTAATCAAGCACGTACCGCTCACGCTCACGCTCAAGTGCGGGAGCGTGATGTCACCGCCGTTGCGCCATGTGCAAAAGGTGCGCTTTGGACTTCATCTGCGCTTGTTGTTTGCTTTGTGCGATGGACTGTGAGGCGACCGCGCCTATCTACAGTGGCTTCCGCAGGCAAACGTTGCCGCCCACGCAAATACGCTACAGCCTCCTTAAGGGGCCCTGCAATCATATTTAAGCGTCTACCGTTTTTGCGCTTTCCACGTCTCTTGGGGTTCAGGCAAGCCAGCGGGCACGGACAGAGTAACTAAATATCAGTGAGTGATATTTTAACCGGACGACGTGGAAACCTCCTCCACCTTTGAGGGCGACCCGCGTTGCCGAAAGCGCGCAATATGTGACGTCTTTGGTCCTGGGCTTACTACTAACCCAAGCCGCTAAAAGTTTTTTTTTTTTTTTTTTACTTGAGAAACAAAATATAAGTGTCGCGAACCGTTTCAATTATGTATGAAAGTAGTTTTTGTTCCGTATTTTAGATCAGAAACGAAACACATGCAGTTTGTAAAGAACGGAAACAAAAAAAGCCCGTCGACAAACCCGCCACCAAGCGGCGGAAAAAACGGCGCATGGTAGAAAGGGATAGTGGGACGGGGCTTTGATGAACGGCGAGCGTAGAAAGGTCCCGGATGTACTCGGCGGCGCTGCGGTCGTACACCGGCTCGAGGATCCGACCGGTTCCGAGCGTTCCGAAGGCTTTCGGCGCGGGCTTGGCTGGCGATTTGGCCATTTGGCGGTATCTCACCACGAAGTGACTCCCGTTCTGAATTGATCTTTATCCCGTGTTTGCTGTCGTTTGTGGCCAATAAAATGTTATGCCGAATTAGTCTTTAATCGCGCAGCAAATGCAACGCGAGCCGCCCTGGCCGCCCGCTTCGTACAGCCTATCCAACACGTGCTTTAGTGGCGCCCTCTCGAACCGTCAACACGGAGTGCGGCAACCGTGAGCGCGCGATGAGCTCACTACTCCTCCTCTAGTTCGCGGGCACTCAAGCCACGACCTACGACGTCATGAAACAGGTTATTTTTAGGTTGTTTTTGTAATTCTAATTTGCCTGTAACTTTTAAAATAAAGCGAAATTTGAGAAAAGTGTCTTTAAGTTACTACGTTCAGCGCGCTCGGGTTCGGTGCGAATTAAAAACCAGTCAAAACGTTGTTGCAGGGCCCCTTTAAGTGTCCTCCTCTAGGCGTCGTTCTCGACGTCGTTCTAGAAGTCGCCCTAGACGTCGCTATTGACGTCGTCCCCTAGGACGTCATTATCGACATCGTTCTAAACGCTGTTCTTGACGTCCTCCTCGACTTCGTCCTAGAGGTCGTCCTAGACGCCGTACTTGGCGTCGATCTCGATGGCGTCATCCTATACGTCGTCCTAAACTTTAATACGTGCAGAAACATTACTCGAAAACATACCTCCCGCGGGACTCTAATGCTTTCGACTTCCTACACGTAAACAGTTTTGAGTGTTCTCCTGTAATTTTTGTTTTGTTCTTATAACTGGCTTTTATCACACGCTCGTTACGAATTTAAGCACCACTTATCGGCGTAGAATGTTTAAATGTAATGGAAAATGTATTTAGTCTGGATTATAGGCTTCATTTTATATATGAAGAAACACACGTTAAATGAAGAGGTAGTCTGAAAATTTATCAACGAGTAGCTTGACTCGCAACGATAAGCACGTACGGTGTTGGGATACCTATATTTTACGCTAAGAAACATGCTTTCTTTTTCTTTCTCAGCATCGAAGCGGGTCCATATCTCGGCGAACGTGACGTCCTGCCAAGTGAAGGAACCCATCCAATTTTCTCGGGAACAACTGGTCGTTTTGTAGGTTGCGTTAAAACCTTTTTCTTTTCAACGCGTCACAGTTCAGCGAAACCGAGATTTCACAAAATCGGCCTATTCACACGATGAGTCTGACGCGCAAAATGTGTGACGTATTGACTCGTGCCAATAGTTCCGAAATTGCCCGTGGCACGGCGCTTCAAATGAAAGCTAGCCAATCAGCATCGTCCATTCGCTGCTATGGCAACAAGTGGCAGCGCGTTTTCCGTTGCCATAGCAGCGGTGTGCGCGGTGCCCGGTCTCCCGCCAGAACCCAACAGGAAAGCGAACCAAAACTGAACTTTTTCGCTCCTTTCGCGTTGCGTTATGCCGGTACGGAAACGCAAAGATGCAGCAGCAGCTGTGTTAGTGCTTTTGCTTTGCGAGGACGAAAGCCCTTTCAAGAAAAGGCGACCTTTGGTCAAGAAGTATATTTAGAAACGTGAACAGACCGGAGCGCACCGTTCGCTCGCGCGGGACCTCCTGAAAGACCGGAACGAGTTCAGGCGGTACCTCCGGATGACGCCCGAGGTCTTCCAGCGCCTTGCTGATGGGATTTGAGCCGATGTCGAAAAGCAAGACACCGTCATGAGGACGGCGATTTTCGCGGAGGAGCGGCTGGAAGTGACGCTTCGTTTCCTCGCAACCGGTAAGTTTTGGGCTCATTGATTTCACAGTGTTTATCTTGTTAGGTAAGGTAAAAACATAATTTAGACGATGGCGGATGGGAGAAAATGTGGACCCAGAGCAATAAACTAAAATCAGTGCTGTCAGAAGAGCAGAAAGAATTTACCAGATCGCAATCAACGCTTGAACTCAAACTTGGACTAATTCACAAATAGCGTTTGCGATTCCACTCGATGCGCAGGACACTTTATCCGAGTTTTTTGTTTTTGTTCTTAATATTAGAAAAGTAAGAATAAAGCCTGTAGAATTCTCCGGTTTGTTGTTCCAGCTTCACTGCTTCGCACCAGCGTTCTGGCGTGAAGCTTTACCACCATTCTAGGAAAAACTGCGAAGAATCAATTATTTCGCTTGGCTCGATGGTCGCTTATATCTTGCTTGGGTTCAAATATCAGTTATAATGCTGATAAGAATGTTCTGACAATTTCGAATAAATAAAATAGCCACTTTTTCGTTTTTATTTTCTAGGAGATCCTCTCAGGTCTCTCTATTACCAATACCTGGCAGGACACAGCACTGTACTCAACATTGTGTACAGTTCGTGCGCTGCAGTTAGCAACTATCTGAGACAGCGGTATGTGAAATTCATCCTTTATTAACACAATTTTTGGGTTTACTGCTGCATGATAATATGAGCATATATAAGTACTACCTGATTATCATACTTTTCTTTTCAGACACATAGTTATACCAAAAACTCCATCCGAGTGGAGAGGCGTGGCTCGAAGGTTCGAAGAAATATGGAATTATCCGCACTGTTTGGGAGCTATTGATGGGAAGCACAGCAATATGTTTTCCGCACCGAACACCGGATATGAATACTTTAACTACATAGGCAATTTCAGCTTGGTGCTGCTAGCTGTAGTAGACGCAGACCTGAAGGTATATCTTTGTCACCACATGCAAATATAGACCAGAGTTCTCAAACTCCTTTGAGTGGGGGTGCAAGATAGCGTTCCCCGAAATGTCGAGGGCCAACATAGGACGGGGGGGGGGGGGGCGGTTTAATATTTTAGGGAAAAAACAGCAATGGTGTGTAACGTTGCAAAGCAGTTGATTCTTTCAGCAACACCCAGAGATTTCCTAAAGCAAGAATCTAATAAATATTTGCTTTTTTTTAAATAGCCGTTTTGCCAGTGTTGTTTCTATTTTTTTTCATACAGCCACTTTCATACTAGCTTGATTACAAGATTTAAAATACCACCATCCCACCAACCCGCTGAAATTTTTCAATAACTATAAACCCAGCACAAAATCTTTACTCTGTCACTCAATTCACTCGGGAATCATCAGAGTCCAAATCTCAAAAGATCTTTTCATACGGTAGAATTACTTAAGCAGAATTATTTAACAAAATACTTGTGTCTTCAAGGTATGCGAGACAATATGTAATTATTTATGGTGCATCTAGCGCTCAAGGCGTAGGAACGGGAGCTCGCAGCCCAGAGAGGCGCGGGCCGCATGTTTGAAACCCAATAAAGACCTTCTAGGAATTGTAGTCATTTGAAAGATCAAATAACTTTCGGTGTACTCAGGGCAGTAATTATAATATATTCCTTCAGACAATATCACTTTTTCACATCCTGCACAGCACAAGGCAGGCACGTAGCCAGGATTTTGTTTCGGGGAGGGGGGGGGGGGGGGGGTGGCCGCCCATGACAAAATGCTGTATGAGGGGGGAGGGGGGAGAGGAGGTCCCAGCAAAATTGAAGTTTTCGGGGGGGGGGGGGGCGGGGGGGGGGAGGCGGTCCCCATGCTTCCCCCCCCCCCCCCCCCCCCCTTGGCTACGTGCCTGGCACAAGGTATACAGGTCCTGTACCTTTTTGCTTGAAGTATCCTTCTCCTGTTTAAGCACAGCTGCGACCGCATTCACGGTCCTTCTATTTGTAATATCCTCATTGTGTGGCCGCAGCCATAACTGCCTCGTTCAGAGGTCATCCGTGATCCTGAAGGTGGTAGAGTTGTACCTGCTTCGCTAACTTGCTCTGCAGCCAGAAAATCCAGTTTTCCACAATGTCAGGATGTCATAAAAATACCGAGCTTGGTATCTTTTGTCTTCTCTGGCAGCCCTCCAAGCAACTACCAAAATTTTGACAAGTGATGTAACGGGCCACTTGATCTTTCGACATATTTTACCCCTATGTTGTAACTACTTTTAATGTGTGGAAGGCATATCACATTAAACTAACCAGTCAGAGAAGCATTGCAGGCATCTTAAAATAAAATATATGCCATACATTTCGCTGATTATAATCAAGGAGGCCCGACTGAGTTTTGAAACATGTCTGTATGTTGTCTACACAAAACAAGCATTGGTATCTGCCCCTAGAAATGTGGCACTCTTGGTTCAGCTTACACAAATTAGTAAAATTATTGACTGACTAACGGTATGTTCCCTATATCTGACTTTGCTTGCTCTTTTTCCCAGGCCATGTATGTTGACGTCGGAACAAGTGGAAGGACACACGACTCCACCACATTCGAAAAGAGCACGTTCTACAAAGGGCTGGTTGAAAATTCTCTCAACCTCCCCACTCCTGAGCCTCTGCTAGGTGATCTGTTTAATTATTATATAATGCTCCTTTATCAGTTGACCTTATACTTTGTAAATTGGAATAATTCACAATACATTTTTTCAGGTGCGCAATGCGCCCAGCCTTTTGTTATCGTGGCACCTGATACGTCCCTACCCTGGGTAGGCAAAACAACCCGAGAAGATTTACAACTACAGGTACCGTGTAAAAATGGTTGCCTGTAGGTTACAGCAAGAGTGCTCTAGGTTATTCACAATGGCATCAACACTGAAATGAATATAATTTGTGCGCAGGCACTCCAGGGCACGTAGGGTGACAGAGAACTTCTTCAGGGGTGCTCGCTTAGAGATTCCGGATCCTCCTGAGGCCCATCCAGGCTTTTCCCCAAGATGTTACCACCCTGGTCCTGGCCTGTTGTGAGCTCCACAACATGCTTCGGGATGAAGGTGTTGACACCAACATACAACCGGAGAAAGCGTCGGATGTGGGTGCTTTCTCACCCTAGCCAAACCACGGCGTCCACCCTTCGATCAGAGCCAAAAATGTCAGAAAGGAATTTTGTAGGCATTTTAATCAAGAGGGAGCCGTGGATCGGCAACTAGACTCTATCAATGAGCACTAAGGCTAGGCCCTAGCAGGGCATGCACGAGCGTGTTCATATACTATCGGGTCCTATTGAAATGCGAACAGCGAAATGTGTGTCTTTCGATACATGTTGTGTCATTTGGTGAGCTGGTGGGAATTTATAACAATATGCAGTAGATCCCCATCTCTATCTCACTTGTTTACGAGTTCCCAGGAGCCCTTCATGCTGCACAGCATTCATTGAAGACCACACGCTTCTCTCTTCGCATTTCGATAGATTGGACCAGTACACTGTGCCCCGTTTTGCCCTCGTGTCTTATTTTTATTGTTTCCTGCATTGGTGAAAGTTCGCTGTGGCCTGGAACAGGAAAGATATATGTAGATTTGCAACTTATAGTTATTTCAATAAGTTGTGCAATTTTCCTGCGAGACATAGGTGCGGAATCTTTGCTGATTATTTATATATAGGGCGGTATACAAACGGATCCGACACTATTAAACGTGTTGCAAAAAACCGGCGCCTGCACGTGAAAAGCGCAAACTTTCCCCGAATGTGTACTGAGCAGGTTACCTTTATCTTGTGAAATTTCAAGGCATTGTTCTTTCCCTGTAAAAATTGAGAGCAACAATCTTGCGAAGCCTCGTCTGCTCGTTGCTTCTATCCGGAGATGGCGCCACAAGTTAATAGCATCGAAAACTGATTTGTCTTTGTACGCACTCGACGTTGTCTTTGCCAAGATCGTTGTTTCCATTTTTTACAAGACCAAAACTGTATGCTTTGAAATTTCACACGGTGAGACTGGTGTGCTCCGTGAATTCTCTAGAAGTTTAGGCTTTCTAGGTGCAGGCGCTGATTTTTCCAAGCCTTTATTACAACATCGGGTCTGCTTGTGCCACCCTATATATTGAACTTTTGAATTAAACCAAGTATGCCAAATGCATCGCCTGAAAATTAATTCTGACCAAGAAAGTTCACTGTTTTAGATTATGACATGTACGGGTGGAGGAGAGGGGAGAGAGAGTGTCAATGTGCAAGTTTGGTGCGCTGTTTTGTACTCATGTCTCATAGAATGGATATCTCCTGCAATCTGGGTATGTAGAATCTTGTCTCCTTATTGTAGATAACGCACATTATGAACTATTTGGGGGGGGGGACAGAAATATATATATAAACAAGTTATCACTGTGTCATTTGCTGTACATTAAAGGCGGCTTTGATTTGTGAAGTCTTTCACATTCACTCTCTCACATCTATATATTTTTTTAATTTAGGCCTATGTGTATGCTCTGAACGAGGGTGTATGTGAGCACCTTGTCAATGTTATTCGAGCAACAATAATTAAAAGAGCATTCAAGTGAATACCTTGTTTAAAGTAAAGGAATCTTAAAGGGGCACTGAAGTGCTTTTTGAAATCCTTGTTTTATTATCATCTCTATCTGCGAGCTCTAAGCATCGTAAAAAATCCGAACTTACATTTATGGGTGGCCGATTTGTATAATAAACAAGTGATCGAGCATCCCGACACATACCATTGGTGCAAAACGACAGATGGCGCTACCGAACCTTGCTGAATATGGTTGAACGACGGACGGCCCTTGTCAGCCACTCGCAAGCGGTGGGGTCCCGCGTGGACGAGCGGCCGACCACTCTCACTCGTCCACGCGGGAACCCACCGCTTGTGAGTGGCTGACAAGGACCGTCCTATTCAGCAGGGTTCGGAACCGCCACCTGTCGTTCTGCGCCAATGGTAAGTGTCGGGATCTCATGATCCCTTTTTTCATTATGCGAATCGGCTGTGCCAAATATGAATTCGTGTTTTTTGGGATGCTTAGAGCTCATAGATTGGGTTAGGATCATAAAATGACGATCCCAAAAATCACTTTAGTGCCCCTTTAAAGAAACTAAACGATGTCTGGTCAGGGTACATGAGTGATAATTGAAACAAGTAAAACAAGACCACGTTATATAAGCGAACACTCATCATAAACGGCTCTTGAATAAATATATAGGGTACTATCACTACCTGAAATTTCTAAAATGTGGCGTAAAAATTGTCGCCTGCATACAGTGACCTTTGTTTTTTATGAAAGGTGTATAGTAATGACATATTTTACCTTGCAAAATTTGAATGCATAGCTCGCTTCCTTTGAAACGTGAGACCAACAGATATATGACTTCAGTCATATATCTGTTTGTCTCACGTTTCAAAGGAAGCGAGCTATGCATTGATGCCCACCATTAATTTGATGTCCACCACATTGATGTCCACCATTAATTAATGGTGGACATCAATGTGGACTTCCAAGCTAACTGATAGACGCAGTAAGTAGGTGATGCGCGGTCGAAAGCTACCGGTACCATCTTCTGCTCACTGCACTTTGGTCGCCTTGCCTGGGAGGAGGCTTATGGGATTACAACACCCCTTCCCTTCCCCTCCCCCCAAAAAAAAGAAAAAGAAAGCAGACTGTATAAGCTTCGTTCGATTAACCTGCACTTCCTGTGCCGGTGCTCAGAAGTGTAAAGCGGTGCGGTGCACTTCTGGTTGTAACTCAATAAACATAGTGAAAGTACAATGCCCTACACTCTTCTGCAGGAGGTGCAGGTTGATTGAACAAAGCTATAATATAAACATGCACTTTGAGCCCTTCTCCACACCCCAAGTCATGAACATCCCAGCCACCCTAGCTACCCCCCCCTCCCTATCCCCCCCCCCCCCCACCCCACACACACACACACATTTCCTTGCTATGCCAGTGCGGCACCTACCACGAGGTGCCGCACTGGCACCTCGTGGCACAAGCACGACATTTGGTTAATTCTATCATCTGTGTTAACTATTGACCATGTCAACTTGTTTGATAAAGGAAGTCGTTACAGTTATAGAACTGTATTAGCGTCCGTTGTTTGTCCAGTAAAACTGAAAAATAATAATAAAGTGGTTTTGGCAAGCCTGACTCTGTATATCTTTAACTGAAAGCAACAAATATTGATGGACTGATTGAAGTCAGCGAAGGGAATAAAAACGGAGCATTGCCGTCAAATATTCGTGCCGCAAATTTTTGTTTTTATACGAGTTGAATATTGACAAACGAGTGCCGATTTGATAATAGTGGGCACTGTTGCGGATACATGCTTGTAATGAAATGTGACCTCTCGGTTCTTAAAGAATGCCGCGGTATATCGTGCAAAACACACATGGCACCGTTCCGAACGAACTCGAAATCCGCAAGGTTTGCCGGCCTTCACCGTACGCGCACACAGCCAAATTGTTCCCCAAACCCAGATGATACTCATAAAATTCGAAGCAAGGCTAAATACATAACCTGGTTTCTTCCGGGCGCTGATATGTAGGCTTCGAATTTGCGGTGAAAGTGGTTCGGACAGGTTGTATGCTCCCGCGCTCGTTCGTGAACAATACAAACAGTTTCGGTTCTTCGATAAGTTCACTAACTATGATACTCGCGGGTGAACACAGCTATAAAAACCGTTTTAAATACGCCGAACCCCTCTACCTTTTCCTCTTTCCGTCACTAGGTTCTTGCAATGCACTTGGTAAGTATCAAGTCTTACCTTTTCATCAGACGTAGTAACGTCGGTGGCGGCGGTGCTGGCAGCGTCCATGGTTGTTTTCGCTTTTATTGGATCGAGCTCGGCTACCGTATCAGCCGTAATGCAGGCTCCAGTAACAGCTTGCACCGCCTCATACGTCACGTGAACTCGTTTGCGAACGGCCATTGGTGAAGCTTTTAAGGTGATTGACAGCACTCGGAGAAGTTTCAGCAAAGGATTGCTCCAGAAGCCAGGAGAACGCGCGACTTTTTTCGGAGGCGCGCCACTTTTTCGGTCGCGGTCAGACGGGGAATTTGTTTCCCGAAACCTAGTTTCGCGACACAAGATCCGCCAACAAGATTCATCGTGTGAATAGACCTTTACTCACTCATGTTCTTACCTCTCGTTGGGTACATGACTTTGAAAATCTCCTCAGAGTTCCTGCATCCCCCCCACCGGGCCTCCCCTGTCCCAGGAAATTGTTTCTTTGACAGTCTCCATAATTTTATTCGATCGGTTTAGTTCATTCCACTGCGTTCAGCTTCAGAGAATATTGAGTTTCCTTAAATGTCGGTAAACACCGACATAAAAAAAAAAAGATTCAATCATTCAGGCTGTTCATATGTATGTTTATACCTATGTCTGCACAAAGCTACACATATAGACATCCAGCCTAGTTACGACTTACAATTTAGTCACAAAGTACCTCTCGAGACAATGCTGCCAAACCCTCTGCATTATCGTTTATTTTTTTCTCCCCTCTCTCTCTTTCTCCCTCCTCTCTCCGCTTACGTAGCATGAGCCTGTAGCCGTCAAAGATGAATCTGGAGCGTTGGCTTTTCAGGAAAGTACTTGGGAGAGACAATAGCTGAACATATGGAGGGCGCGCGGCGAATGACAAAAATAAAGCTATGTTAAAAGCTAAAAAAAAAAAAAAAAAAATGAAACACTGTGCGTTGTGGCACTGAGCAAGGCGTCCCACCACGCAAACTGTTTTCTTTTTTCTTTTATTCTAGCGTTTTTAACGAGCTTTCGTTCTGAGCACTACTACCGACTTTTCAAGTGCCTTCATTTTTTGTTAGCTGTGGACAACGTCGAGACACGGACGTCAGTATGTTCTGCAGTGATTATGTGACAGTAGTCATCGAATTTCCAGGAATGTTTTTCTTATATATTGAGTTCTTTTGTGGTATCCCTCTTTAATAACAAAACTTGCGTACCACTTTCTAGGTGTGTCCTCGGAGTGATCTTGACGCTCGTCGTTGTTGGAACGTTGGTGGACGTGTTGTTCGAGCATTCCGCCAAGCACTCGACTACCCCCTCATCCACCAAAAACGGTACGGTTTGTGCCAAATACCCCTATAACTGTGCTGTAAAATTTACTTTTAAACTGTAATGAAGTTGCGATTCCTCCAGCTGAGATGAAATTAAAGATACAACTTTTTTAGCCAACAGTTTGGGTTACAGTTACAACTACTCATAAAAAGTAAACAGTAACTTTTAAGCGCTTGTTAAAAAATGGTTTCCCTTGACAGAAATGCAACAGGTATTGGCTTAGCGAGAAGGCAACCCGCTTTCGACTGAGGTCATTCGTCTGCTCACTGCGCTTATCGAAAGATGGTGCCACAAGTTCGATTCAACTTTTCCTAGGTTCAATGCACCATTAAAATACACCTTTCATGAAAACTGCAAATCGTTATGGGCAGGCGCCGATTTTTCCGAATTGTTTAAAAGCCAATCTCGGAATGTACGCAGCCCTACAGTCGCTGGACAGTGTGAATAAACATAGTGGCATCATGTCTGAAAAACGAACCACCGAATGTGTCTTACATGAACTGTGCGTAATTCGTTTCGTAGGTCGCTTGGCGCGGCTCATCGTCAGCTTCTCCGTGGTGAGGAACACGAGGCTTCTCTTTGCCGGAGCCGAGCGTCCCGAGGGTCCCCTGGATGCCCTGAACGGCATCCGCGTCGTCTCCTGCTTCTGGATCGTGCTGGGACACATCTACTTCCTCACAGACCTCTCGTCCTACATCCGCTTTTGTGAGTAAGCACCCCTCGCAACGACGCCATCGGCCGTCGGAAAACACACGGCAGAAGCCTCGAGGCGAACGGGACCATGGACTCGAGCTCTGCTGACTGATGCTATGCGGAGGGAAACTGAGAGAGAGGAGGATATCCTCAGAGTGCGCGAGGCCGTTAGAGTGCCGAGCACTGGTTGGGATGGTTAGTGGACAGACAAAGTCTGAGTCGCCGTCGTCTCTACCCCCTATCTCCTCGCAATCAGAGCGAAAAAATTAAGAGCGGCGTCTGCTCCTCGCCCAGTGTCTCGCGTTCGAACGCCGGACACTGGCGTTGCGCGTTCGAACGCGTTCGAACAATGGGTAGAGAGAGAGAGAGAGGAAGCTGTCCCCTGAGTCTATTCACTATCCTTACGATTAGAGCTCTTCACTCTGACGTTCCCGCTCGTTCTCATCTCCTCTTTTCTCTCAGTTTCTGACTGTATAGACCTTTTCCACAAGGGCGCCGCCATCCTGAATTGTCGTCACTCCCAGTATGGGCGAAAACATTGTTTTGCCGTCGCCACGCCAATAGAAGACATTTAGAATATGAGCGTAACCGTCACACAATCTCGTTTTGGCTCCCCTCTATTTTTTTACTGGTTACAGGTTGAAAGGTTTTATTATGTTTTTGTCGCCCATACCGGATCGGATACGCCTATTTGGTGACTGGGGACGAGAGTACACGAAAAAGATCTATACCCTTCGGAAGCGTCTCGTGAATTTACGCGTCGCGCGCTGAGCCAATGAAGATTCGGTCTTGTTTTTCCGGCAGTTTACAGGGATCTACAACTTAGAAGTGTGCACTCAGAAGTCCCTTAACGTGCGCTCAACCACAGTTCACTCGGACACCACCGTATTACTCGTGTGATGCCATTGAGTAACCACCGCAAATTACGTACACTCTAACAAAAGCCCGTGCTTGTACTTTCCCGCACAACACTTGAATAGCCATTCACCGGAGCCTACGGAGGCAGCTCAGCGAATAGCGATGCCGAAACTTATGTTTAGACCAAAAAACGCAGTCCGAGCTGTGACATTAGCCGATGCAAGCGTGACGTTTTGCATTGCTTAATGTCGCAACTCAGACTGCGTTTTTTGGTCTAAACATATGTTTCGGTATCGTCATTCGCTTGGCTGCCTCCGTAGGCTCCGGCGATTGGCTCTTCAAGTGTTGTGCGGGAAAGTAGACGCACGGTCTTTATTTAGAGTGTAGAGTCGTAGAGAATTGTTATTTCACGTCGTTTTACATGGTCGCGTGACGTCGTGTGCTTGCGTGACCCAATGTGGCAACAAGCATGGGGCCACGTGACTCGTGGAGGAAATCAAATTATAATGTGACCCATTGTCAATGATGGCGTTGGAGACCGCACTCCCTGACGTAGGCAATAACAAGCCGCAGCCGCTGACCAGAAGCGGCGGATTGCCGTAGGTGACTACAGCACTGTAGGTTAATGTTAGCGGTGGAAAAAGGGCTCGGTTAATGAGAACGGAGCGCGTAACATATAACTCCATGAGGAGTTGCAATCGTTATCAAATGTAAACATATATAAGTAAATTGAACGAATGGCTCATAATCCCTATCAACACCCTGGCGCCTAAGAAGATGGCGGGTTACAAACGTTGCAAATCTTATCGCCAGCGCATGAATATAGATCATAATTTCTTATCTTGATAGCTAGACAACGCTCGTCCACACACACACAAAAAATCTATATATATTATTGACCCATATACTTGGTGTAAAACCGACTGATGAAGATTGTGTTGTATGTTCATGTCATGTTACCTAAAAGATTGCCCCAAAAATATATCGAGCACAACAGATGCAACAGATTCAAACAGATAGAATCAGGCCGACAGATACACATGATGAATTCTGCGTCAGTCATCTTTTTGGAAAGCATCGAGGCAAATTAGAATATATATATATATATATATATTCTTTTAAATACGTAGCGTCTCAGCGTTCAACCAGAAACATGAATTGGCGTACAGAAATTTTAGTTACTGTTGTTTCATCAAATTCAAAGTACCTCACCCACCCATGAAGATAGTGAATGCGTCTTCGTTTTTTCTTTTCAGCCTCTCTAACCAAGTTGCAGGTACTCTTTAGAGATTTCCTTTTCACTGTTGTGGAGAACTTCACCTTGCCCGTGGATACATTCTTTTTCATCACGTGAGTGCCGGTCATCCCCATCAACTATAAGCTCACTGACGCTACTATTTATTTATAAACGCAACGTGCCTTACAGTGGCGTCTCTGTCGCAATGATCGCGTAATACGGCTGCCTCTAGCCATAGATCTCATGTTTTGCTATGGATCCCAATTTGTAGGTAAAGCGTTACAAGTAATGCTTTACTCGTTTTGTTTTTCAATAACTAAGAAACGACCTAGTTAATATTGTTATTATTTATGCGATTATGAACAAGTGACATATTACACTCTTGCTAACCGATTAAGGCTCTCTATGGAGATACAATTACAAAGTGAGCTCTCATGCGACTTAAATTCGATTGCCTTTGTTGTTAACCATTTCTAGGGGCAAGCGCCCATTTTTTTTAACTTGAATGCTAAAAAGCGTCTGAAAACAATATTTTCAGAGAACGTGAAAATATCTGAATACCATTCAGTATCCAAATAAATCTTTGATACTTCATAGTGTTTCGAACTGGGGACTCTTCTAATTCAAAGAGTTAAATGCGCACTTCAGCGGTTGCAGCATCAATATCCAGAGGAGAGCGTTGTCTTAGATGATGCCATCGCCACGCGAAAGCTCATAACTCAGACTGTAGGGTTGAGATGAATATATGTTTGTATTTCTCATCTCAGGAAAGCGAGGTCTTACGCCGCGTTCGCGCTGGAAATTCCAACGCCAGTGTGAATTCAGCCTTATGGTCTTACTTAACGGTTGTCGAAATAGTGATACTTGCAGTCCGGAAAATACCCACTCTTGGACATCGGAGACCTCCTCATCTTCACAATAATAATAATTTTATAGGAGCTTAAAAAAATGTATAGATGTTGTTTGATATTTCTAGTGAATCATCTTACCAGCACTGTTCCTCATTGGTAAGAAGCTGTTCCAACTCACTCGACCAGGGGCCAACAACCGGTGGGCCGGGTCCGGCACGCCCGGCAATATAGTATATGGCCCTTGGCAAGACACCAGAAATGGCGTCTTGCCGGGGGACATATACCTCCACCCCCTCTTGCACATCGCTTCTCTTTACGGCCCGCTCCGTCTCTCCGTTTTGCGGTGACTTGGCCCGCTGCAGCAAAAAGTTGCCGACCTCTGCACTAGACATACGCCTTCTCAAAGACAGCCCATGCAAATGTGCGGCACTTTCTCTTACAATAGCAGAGTTGTATCGACCGCTGTGCAATGAATTGCGCAAAATGCTTTGTCCAGATATCTTTAAGAAACCGATATGCGGACGATCGCTCCCACGTTGATCGATGAGGCACCGCTAGAGCGCATTGTGGAGCAGCCTGATTTAGTCTTGTATGCGTTACTGAAAAAAAGTAACCAATTACAGTTACTTCATTGAAAAATGTAACTGATCACAGTTATGAGTTACTGCATCGCAAAATCAATTAAAAAATGCAAAAAAGTAATTGATTTCTTTTCACGTCACTTTTTACGTTACTAGATGAGGTCATTACAGAACACAGTCGTCTCCGCCGCGGCAAACCCGGTTCGTTACAGCATGTACACAGGAAACGAGGCACTCTCGACAGCTCGACAGTCAAAAACGTCGCTGAGCGCGTTGCCGTTCTATCCATCTGGTACCTTGGTATCCCTTTTAGTAGTTTAGGGGTAAAAAAAAAGTGTCCAACCTTGGTGCAGCATAGACGAGTAAAGCACTGGCAGACGGAGCGACATTTTACGCAAAAAAACTCAACTCAATAATTTTAGCTATTTCGAAAACATATAATTGATTTCTTATAACTGATTACAAAAAAAAATATAAAATAAATTAGAGCGAAAGGTTCCGCAGAAAAACATAATTAAAGCGAAAGTTAAATAGGACGTAATTGATCACCGGAAAACCAGTTACTTGTAAGTGCTTACGTACAAGTCTGGCTTGATAAAATACTGCGCATGCGAGCTAGTAGTGCCAACCGTTGTTGGAGTGATTGTCTACAAAGTGGTTTCACAAACAGCTTAATATCACAATATCTCTATTCGCAAAAAGTAGCAGCCGTCGTTTTCTTGTTGACAACCTAAGTAGTTTTTCTGCTTTCTTTTTTTAACAGGGGCCTTCTTTTAGTCTACAATCAGAGAAAAAAATGTTCGAAGAAACAGACCATCTCGTTCTGGGACACGGTTCGCATGGTGACGCACAGATACTGGAGGTAAGCCAACGAGAAAGAGCACGCGATGATCAACATGCGACTTACATGATTTATATAAAGGCTAGAGTGTGTTTGCTCAAAGTGCCCTTGATGTATTTTTTTTTATTGGTGAGCATAATGTCGTACATGGACTGCCGAAGGAAACGTTCAGGAGAGTTTCACAGCGCATGAACTAACTGCCCGTCGGAGGAAGATTAAAAGACACCACAAGGTAGCATCCACTGTGATGGCAGTATGTGTGGGTTTCAGTGCAATACGAGGGGCGTTCAATAAGTTTGTATTATTGTCACGAAGGAATAGAGGTTCAGCGGTGAATCTAGATATTCGCGACCCAAAGTCACGAACTTTTCCAAGCGAACTTTTCCCATCGTCCTTGAAATTCTTTCAGGCTTTTTTAGCCAAAAGGTAGCATCCACTTTGATGGCTTTTAGAAACCACGCGGTATATTTGCTCCGTCGTGCGTATCAGTCCGTCAAAACGCGTCATGCGGAGGTGAGTTTTTCGTCTGCTTATCGAGTCCTACCGGTGGCTTCGTCTGCTTCCTGCGATTTTGCTCTACTTACACCTTCGTTCCCTGTTCCTTGGCACGGCACCTATGGTTACGACACTCAAGGAATATCGACTGCTGACCCATCTGTATGTGCTTCGTCCGTACCGCCGTCAGCCTCGTACCTCGTACCCGCTTCGGTTGCCGCTAGGATTGGATTGTTATGGCTAATAAGAAGCGACCTTATGTCAATATTGCCTGCGCGCCCTCCAACTTCTTCAAACAGTTGACATTTTTACGAAAAATGGCATGAATAATAATGAAACTAAATACCATGTAACTTTACTACACCAATGTAAACAAAAAAAGCATGCTATCACGGAATTATATGCGGAAGATTAGTGCTCTTCGTACTCTGCGTATCGGAATTTCTCTCGCGCACTCTTTTCTTTTGCAGTGCGGATCCAAGCCCTTCTGAGGTAGTGCTCCGCCCGCAGCCTTCGGGCCCTAGTCCATTGTAGGTTGAGACGGTGTTGAATGGCGTTCAGCAGTACACATAGCACGCAATGTTTCTACTGTTCTGAAACTAGAGGGACGCGCTCGTGTTGATTCCTCTTTTCTTCCAGTTTTAAATTTTTTCTGCCAATAATACAAACTTTATGAATGCCCCTCGTACGTTACTTAAATTAAAAGTTAATGACGATTTGTTGCAATGATTTTCATGCCCACACCCCATAGTGTAGAACTGAAAGCCATCGCTCTCAACATAGCACCATCTATTAGCCGCTTCGTCAAAGAGCCGTCATGCGATTACTACCGACTGAGGAGGCTTTTCTGTGGCTGAAATGTTTCAGAAAATCGCTTTAAACTTTTTATTCGGGTAACCTATTGGGCTAAAGCTTCAAGGTCCTTCCTTAATCTTTGTGGCTACCTTTCGGTCAAATTTCAGTGTTCTTTGATCCGCGGTTGATTTATGTGCGACAGAAAGCACCTTACGTTTTGTCGGGAATACCCGGTATATTGGTCTGCGTAACTATTTTAAGCATAGCTCCAATTATACTTAATATACATACGTATAACGTCAATTTCTATTGTGTAGAGACCGACTATCGAACGCCACAACGTATTTTGATTTGTTGTAGTCAAAGAAAGGGAAATGACGTTTAGTTCAGACAAAGAAAGGTACTATTGAGACGCAGTTCCCCTCGTTTATTACAACTTTATGTTTTTTTTTTTAATGTATTAAATGCGATGATAAATAAAGTAACTTCAGGGTGCACACTAGTTCAATATTTGTGTGGGTGCTGTGTTTTGAGACATTTCCGGCTTTAATTTTATAATTTCTTTTTTTGTCAAGGATGACACCACCATTCGCCCTGACCATGGCGCTCTTCGTCCTGGTGCCGACGCTCGGAAGCGGTCCCATGTGGTGGGAGGTGCTCGGCACGCCCTCGGAGAACTGCCGACTTCACTGGTGGTCCAACCTGCTCTACTTCAGCAACTACATGTCCTACACCAAGATGGTACACTCGCAAAAAATTTGGAGGACGTTTAAGCTCCGCTTTTAAGAGTGGCCGCATGTCTGCATCGCCTTCTCATTCCTTTCTCATATCCTTCCTGCCAGTATCGGCGGGCATGGCCCAGTCAGTAACGTGTCTGGCTCGCAACCGCATGGTCGTGGCTTCGAGTCCCGCCTAAAATAATCATATCAGGGGAATGAATTACTCTATAATGTGAAATGATTTGAGATATGCGGCGACGTTTTTAGAGCCCAGCTCTTAAGGCCTGACCAAACTTGCATGAACGCCGTCGCATGTTCTGGCGTCCCAACGCGAGGAGTCCACATTTGTCTCCGTTTTGAGAGCGTCACCTGACTGACAGCACTGGCTCTTGCGATAGCGCGCACGCCTCCCGCCGGATTTTCCGCTCTTTCATCGTCTGCTCTTCGTTAGATTCTTCCGTTTCGGCTCTCACCTTTCGCATATATCAGCATCGAAACCGCACTCGCTGCCAGCATTGTACGTGTCCATGATGACCTGGTGATCAGCGTGAATGTGATAATCCTAGCCCGCTGGAATTTTTCCACTAAATTTAGTAGGGCAATTTTTCGCTAAATTTAGCGGGAAAATTTTACCCTCGTGAAGTTACTCGACGTCACGCTAAATTTAGCCAAAATTTTCCGATGAATATTCCGAAAAACTTCCCCCGCTAAACTTAGCAGGGGAAGTTTTACCCGCTAAACTTAGCGGGGAAATTGACGTCACGTGACGTCAACAACAATTCAGTTTCCCCACTAAATATAGCGGGGAAATTTTCGCTACGTTTGCCGATAAATATCACGGGAAAATGTTGGTAAATTTCCCGCTAAATATAGCGGAAATATTTCCCGCTAAATTTAGCGAGAACATTCTAGCTTAATTTAGCGGGAAATTTAGAGAAAATTTCCCGCTAAATGGGAGGGGAGCGGGAGAGAAGGAGGGGAGGGTACGAAGGGGGAGCAGGGACATACCCCCCCTCCCATCCTCGTCCTCAAGAGCTGCGCCCTAATTCAAATCGCATGTCATGCTTTTTAATCACTGTCATTCCACGTGCAACGTCACGTTTCACGTAAGCGTTGTGGGTTGTTTGAAATTCCCGCGCGACGTCATGTGGATGTGACGCCATGACCCTATCGACCGATCCTGGATTTTCCGGTCCCAACGCCACCGACGCCGACGCCGGCTTTTCTGCGATGCGAGCTTATGAACACTATCCCATTAAAACCGGCGTGCTCTACCAAACGAAACAGAACGCACTGTTATTCCCTGTTGCGCACCGCAAAAAACGTTTGTCGTGAACTTGAAATTAGTTAAAGGGACATTGAACGCGTCCAGTGTCCTTGTCATACGCTCAACGTCTGATAAGTTAAAGCAACTTATTAACGTCTTTACCAAACAATGTTTTACAACTTACGTATTTTGGACATGCGACAATGATCAAAACGATAACATAATTATTCTTAAAAAACAGAAAAAACTGTGGACGTATATGTGTTGCTTCTTATTTGTTGATAGGGTTTGCGGTAATTCCAGTTTCCCCTGTCCCGTGCACTTCTCTAGGGTGGAGATTTGCGTCTGCTCGTTCGACAGAATTTCTCTCACGCTATACATCTTTGTTTCCACATTCAGGCTGTGTCCACACAAGCGTTTTCATTGCACATCCCACCATTAGGGGTAGTCCCTACCGGTACTTTACTGACATGTTTTGCTGGTTTCGGATACTTTGAAGGACGTCTGGGTCGCATGCAGCTGTTCCGGGGACGACATCATCAATCAAAATGGTCACCGTTAACTGCAGACTTGATATTCACTTCAGGCCACACTTGAAGGCGCTCGCCTCAGGCTGGCTGGCTTACACTCTTGCCTTTGCTCACGACCAAGCTCTCGGGATTTCTTACTACGAGAGAACACACTGGTGCGCTTGCGCCATCTATGAGGTGACCCTGGAACTGCAGTTCACTAGAACGAAGGTCTTGCGGTATATGCAAGGTCAAATGTGTACGTACAATCATGAGAACTGCTCAGTTTTTTTAAACCAATAAAAAAGGAATGACGCACGAAAAAAGTAGTAAATAAACAGAAAAACGAGTGTTTCACTGCTACCCAATAGACGGCGCCAGTATGTTACCTCTTCGTGACATATCCCAAGAGGTTTTGACGCACTCCGTCGTAAGCATGCGCAAGTATGTGAACCAGCCTTTATCCTCGAACGTATCTATGCATTGAGGGGTAATTATAAAAAAAGAAATGTGCCTTAGGTTCTTGTGAGAATATACTCATAGAGGCCATGTTGAGGCGAAGAATGAAGTCCCACAGCAAACATTTGAGTAAGGACACAGAACGGCAGACGTCCGCTTTTAATGTGCCTTTAGTCTCAAACGGCGAGAGTCAACATGGGCGCGTCGCCCTATACAATATCCTGTGGATAGAGGCACGAATCTGTCAGTTGTGCACATATGCAGCACGAAGTCGGTCGCACCGCGCATTTCAGTATTAACTGTGGCATTCCTTTTTGCATCATGTATTCCAGTGTATGCTGCACTCTTGGTTCCTGTCGCTGAACATGCAGTACTTCATTATCGGCATTCCACTCACACTAATGCTGTTCCGGTAAGTGCGTTCGTCGGATGCCACCTCCCGTTCAAATGCACGCTGACATAGATACGTAAGTTCCCGCATAATTACACTGAACGCTTCCAGATTGCTGGAACTTGCAAGTTTTGTTTCAAAGACGCGTCGCAACGCTGGAATTGATTGGTACGATGCTACGATATGGATTCGAATCAGAGCAAGACAGCCGAACCCTGAAGCATCTACAAGCCGAAATTTTCTTTTAGCTAACTACGGGTTGTAAGAAGAGAAATAAAATTCCCTGTTTAGAATAAAACAAACATTAAAAAAAAGTTTCGTTGAATCCTCAAGTTTCGCCCACATTTAGGGCTAATGATTGGGATTGCAATCAAAATTTAAAGAAAAATAACCGTTATCTCATTCAAAAAATAGAAAATAACTTTCGGTAATTTTTAGGGAGAAAGTGTCGACTAACTAAGCCCGCGAACAAGTTGGCGTTTAAAGTTCGGCAACAAGTGAAAGTGCTTGTTGCCGAACTTTGAATGTTGTGTGTTGAAACCTGCGATTGTGTTTTTGTTTTGTTTTTTGCTGTTCATATTTATATTTTTGCGCACCATAGAGGAGACCTGCATGGTTGTTTTTGGGCACGTAAAATAAAATAAATAAATAAAAATAAATAAATAAATACATCAAGGCAAATGGCGTTTACGTGTGGGAAACAAACATCATTTCTTCATTAGAAATTTAAAAAAAAATACAGGAATATTTTTTGGTGGATTCTTCGGGAATCCGTTAGATGACCCTTGGAAACGCCCCACACATCCCACTTTGGGGAACGCCAACGTTGACCCCTTCACTTTTTTCCTTTTGGCTTTTGCTTCCCCTATTTTCTTGCTGCCTCTTTTCGGCATCGCTACGGGTCAGCGTTAGGGTTTTCCAATGGGCGACGTGTGTGGAGTTTCCCAAGGGTCATTCTAACGGATTCCCCAGGAACCCAGTCAAAGTACGTCGACGCCCTTGCATACGATCATCCATATCTCTCGTGGAGCAAACCGTATCTATCCTTTTAACCACACACTCATCACAGCCCACGCACCGCTACTACAGAAGCCCAGAGCGAACAACAACCAGCGAAAGCAGAGCGGCAACTGAGCTCGCTCGCATTCCACCATGCCGCGGTGCAACACCTCTTAGATAACAAAGCCGTAGCACTAATTGAGATGGCGTCATCAGAAAAGGCCAACATTGGACACGGATTGGACTCGACGATTGCGTCAACGTTAGGCTCAAAGTGGACTCGAAGCCGAGCGCTGGCGCAGCACTCGCTTCCAATCTGTGTCCAGCGTTGACCTTCTCTGTTTCAGCCATTTCATTCAGCACTAAAGCTCTTTTATCTAGGAAGTGTTGCGCGGCGCCTTTTCCTTTCTGGCTCCGCGCCAGCTGTGCACGTGACTTCGCCGAAAACGAAAGGGCTCGTATGACGAAAACCTAGTGGTGTCTGTCAGTTTGTCGACGCCGGGAAGAGAGGGAGAGGTTGACGCGTGCTCACGTCAGCGCTTCGCACCACTGGGAGCGTCGCACGCGACAACTGACAGACGAAAGACTCCGCCGAAATTTCGTCAAAACGAGCGTTCTAATGCTAACGCAGTAAAAATCGCCTATAATATTTTAGATGGATTTTTGTAGGTTCTCAAACGCTGGCATCTCGTCTAAGAGGTCTGGAAGTGTCAGCGTTCGGGAAAGCGTAGTGTGTGTTTTCTGGTAAACAAACAACAGGGTTACAGACCTTTTCTCCAAAACACCCCATTCATTATGAACTACTTGGTGTATGTAGAAGACCATGGTAAAAATCGACACATCTGCTACTTCTGATCGCTTTTAGAAATGCCGTAAAAACAGATTTTACAGTTCTTTTTTTTATACCGACGTTAACATATTCACATCAGTCAACCAGAAAGCTCAATTTTCTTGTTTCTCCACTTCAAGCAGGCGCTATAAATGCGGCACTTTCTGGGAAAATTTGGTAACCCTAGCTAAGACTTCCTACTCACCCCATGGTTGTGTGGGCTCCGTCCTTCCAGAAACCCGGGAGCGACGTCCGTCGTCATCCTAGCCCTGACCTTAGCATGTTCCGCGGCCACGAGCACGGTGGCCTACCTCAACAACTTGCCCCCTACCATGCTCATGATGACCTCGGACTGGAGGTGAGAAAAATTAAAAATACGAGCATGTTTCGCAGAAAAAAAGGAAACCTTGTTTTGTGCACCATACAAATCAGCCTCACATTGCCGGACACTCCACCATAGTGCATTGATCTGCAAGTAGACTTACGCCTTAATTAAGTTTCAAGCCTTGACTACCTAAATAAATAGAAAATGCTGCATTTTTTTTTAGAGCGCAGCTCTTAGGCGCCCGTTTCCGGCTTGAGTGGCGTCGCCTTCGGCGTCGGCGTAACCGCGCGTTGCATTATGGCAAGTTTCCCATAATGATGTCACGAGGGTTACCGCCGTGAGGGTTACGTGCGTTACGAGGGTTACTCTCACGAGGGTTACGAGGGTTACCCTCCCGAGGGTTGCGAGGGTTAGTTACCCTTAAAAGGGTTACCCTCACGAGGGTAACGAGAGCTACTCTCACGAGGGTCACGAGGATTATAAGAGTTACCCTCACGCCCCCCCCCCCCCCCCCCCTGAGGTCACGTGACCCCCCATGAGGTCACGTGACCCCCATGAGTCACGTGACGGCCCTTGAGGTCACGTGACCCCTCCCTGAGGCCACGTGACCCCCCTGAGGCCACGTGACCTCAGGAAGTCACCTACCCCTCATTACCCTTCTATCCTCCTCCTCAAGAGCTGCGCTCTAATCCGGCGTTAGAGGGAGTTGTAAACGGCTTTCATTTTTTTTTTCTTTTTTCTCTTAAAGCAAGGCGAAGCAGAACCTCAACATGGTCTACTACCAGCCGTTCACGCACTTTGGCCCGTTCGCTGTGGGGCTCTGCCTCGGCTACATCCTTTCCGTCAAGAAAGCACCCAGGTTTGGCACGGTACGTCTTTTCACACCATAAGACTTACCCTGGCGCAAACTAATCTGAAGTTCCGGAATACTAGCCACAAATAAAAAAAAATATTGATGCAATAATGTTACTAGAAAAAGACGACAGGTAGGGGTGAGACGGACATATCAAGACGCCTAGATGCTGCCTGTATCTTCCCCGTCTGTCGTCGCTGTCATTTTTCTTGTCAATAGTCTGCTCGCATGCGTGCAGCGTTTTTCATACATAACAAAGAGTGCAAAGAAACAAAAGCACGAAGGTATTCAAGACTGGTGGGAAGAACTCGAAAAGAAACCTGAAAGCTTCAGAGGTACAAATGACGTTTCGTTCTTGGCTCCTTCAAAAGCCTCAAAAAGCTGTCTTAGCTCCTATAGGGCATTAAGAAGGCAGCGGGCGTTTAGCTTAGACGATTAGCCTCTTCAGAGCCCTCAGAAACTGTATTTCCTGGCAGCCTTAGACTGTCCGTCAACGTTTCGTAAAGGGATATTTTCTTCGGGGTCCCCGAAGAGTTCGGAATGTCTGCTGCCAGTCTGCGACTTGCAAAAGGTTCATTTTCTATAATGAAGGCACTCGAGTACAAGAAAAGTGCGCCATTGAGGTGGTGCCCATGGTCGCAGGCAACGCTGGTGGCCGGTTGGCTGACCTCGCTGTCGATGCTGGGGGCTTCTCTGTTCGCCCCGTACCCGTTCCGTAAGGGAGACGCCTTCAGTCCGGTCTTCTCAGCCGTCTACGCGGGCTGCCACCGGACGCTGTGGACGCTAGGGGTCGCCTGGTTGACCCTCCTCTGCAGCAGCAACCAGGCCGGTGAGATATCTGCTCTCCGATGCCTCGGGGAGAAGTGCGCATCAGTACATATGGTGCCTGGAACGCGTCTCCGACTGGTTTGTCTCGCATTTCTTTATATGGTCTCCTCGACGTCACAACTGTGGAACGCTGAGAATTGTTGCGATTCTGACGGTGCACAGCACAGGAAGTGGACGCGGCGGATGCTTATTGTACCGTTGTTGTAGTTTGCCTCGCAGCCAGTCAATTGACGGAGGTCCCAGCAGCCACAAGTGGGGTCACCGCGACGGCAGCGACACTCTCGTCTGCTCGGACCCATGTGCGCGGCTCTTCAGCGATAAACTGTCAGGATTGCGGCAGTTCATGCATTACCCGGCGGTTTCAATGACGTATCACGCTGCCATTTAGGGGGGGGGAGGGGGGGGGGGGTGCTTCAGTCCGAGGCGCATTCCAGACACCGTGACTACACTCAAGAACAAGTATTGTTAAATTTAATTTAAAAAGATAAAGCGCGCTCTTAGTGACTATTTCTTTTTTGTGTGCGTATTTTCTGAAAAGGGACGTTCTTCCAGTGCAGTTTTGTGACGTGACGTTCTTCCAGTGCATATTCTTGAGGCTGTCATTTTCTCATCGTTTAAAATATCAGAGCTTTATATTTGTGATATTTAAATATCAGTGTGAACCGAAACTGTTTTAGAGCGCAGCTCTTAAGCGTGTTTCGCGGTGTAGGCGTCGGTGTAACCACGCTAAATTTAGCGGGAAAATTGAGGTCACGTGACTTCAACACCAATCCACATTCTCGCTAAATTTAGCGAGAAAATTCAGTTTCTCTACTAGATTTATTGGACAAATTCAGTTTCTCCGCTAGATATAGCGGGAAAATTCCCGGCTAAATTCGGAGAATTTAATTGGTGTTGTGGTCACACGGCGTTAATTTTCCCGCTAAATCTAGCTGAGAAACTGAATTTTCCCGCTAAATTTAGAGGGGAATGGAACTGGTGTTGAGGTCACGTGACGTGAATTTTCCCGCTGAATCTAGCGGAGGAACTGAATTTGTTCATAGGTGACGTCACACCAACTCATGTGACGTAATTTTCCCCGCTATATTTAGCGGGGAAACTGAGTTGGGTGTTGAATTCACGTAATGTCAATTTTTCAGCTAAACTTAGGGGGGAACTGGGAGGAGGGGAGGGTATGGGGGAGGAGGAGGGAAAGGAGGTGGAAAAGGAAAGAAGGAGGAGGAGGAGGGAAGCTTTAGAGGGGGAAAAGGAAAGAAGGAGGAAGATTTTATTCGACGTTTCGACCTGAGGCAGGTCATCGTTAGGAATGATTCCTGAAGAGGACCTTCTTCAGGTCGAAAAGTCGAATAAAATCCTCCTGGTTTGTAACCTGCATCTCTGTCTTCTACGCCTTCGGCCTCCGAGCCAACATGACTCTCTCTCTCTCTCACTCGCTCTTTCTCTCTCTATATATAATATTATAGACCGATAATATTGCTGCTAAGACACCGCCTATTCTAAACTTCATCGCAGCCCTCAGCTCCGCTCGAGTATACTCTTGCAAGTTGCAAGACTCGGCGAATACTCAGCAATAGAAAAAAGTTTGCGACGGTGTTGTAGATCCGCCGCCTTCTCCATGTTGTAGGACTGGTCGGTTCGGCGCTGTCGTCAAGCTCACTGACGCCGCTGAGCAGGCTGAGCTACCTGACGTACCTGCTCCATCCCATCCCCATCTACGTCCACGTGGCGTCGACGAAGGAGGCCTTCCAGCTCGACCACTACTACATGGTACGCTTCTGGTCGGGCGAATTACTAGAAGCCGGCCGAGTTATTATTACGAGTGCCTGGAGTTAGCGCCCTGGAGCCCTGGGTTCCTGCGCAACACGCGGATATTGATGACGTAGAAAAACTAAACCACACGCGTGAAAAGTCTTTTGGAAACCTCAGTAGGCCAGCCGGCGTATCGCCAAACGTCTCTTCTGCGGTGATTTGTGCGATGATTACGTGATTACCCTACACGTGCGCGACGACTACGTAGTGAGCTTGTACTTGTGTCTTCCGGAAGCCTCGAGTGGCAGCCGACGTTTGCTAAGAGACTTGGCTTCTTCATGATGCCACGTCGCTTCTACAACGATTGGTACGCGATGATTGCGTAGTCCCATGCGTGTCAAGTCTCCTGGCAGTCGACAAAGGCCCAGAAGAAGCCAAGTTTCATAGCGTAACACCGGCTGCCACCGTGAAGCCTCCAGCGGATTCCTTTCTAAGTTCGTTCTACTAGCTTCGACAACCGCCTGCGGGTTTTATTCAAAGATATGAGGAAAGCGACAGGAACGAGGATTTTTTGTATTGTCCACCTGAACCAGCTGCTTAAATTGCATGCAGCATTTTTGTTCAGTAAGATCCCTTCAGGGGCGGACTTATGAGTCAGGCCGAGGGTGAAGAAGGAGGGAAGGGTTATTGAAAGAGATTTGACATTACGGGTGACGGGATCTCCAGGCCTATCTTGTTGACCTAATATATGTTATTTCTACAAAACCTAAATATTTTCTCATATAAAAAACTAATGTATACCGTTAAAAAAAGGTTTTGCAGTGTTTAGGGGCGCGGTCCCTTCCCCATTAAATCAGCCTCTAGGTTACTTGCACGTGCCTGCTTTGGCTCCGCACCATGGCAGCTTCGTAACAATATATACGTATAAGGTTTAAAAGCGCAAACAGACAGAGAGAATAGAAAATAACACAAACGACAGGGACAAGGAGAGTACCTTGTCCCTGTCGTTTGTGTTATTTTTTATTGTCCCTGTCTGTTTGCGCTTTTAAACCTTATACCTACCATGGACCAACTAGCCCAAACCAAAGTTTTAATGAATATATACGTGTACTGCTGCTGAGAACGCATTCGCCAACCAGTGTGTTTCTTCCGGTTTCTGTCAGTGCACCCTCTACCTGGGCATTCTGACGACGTCCATCATACTGGCGTACCTGGCCTACGTGACTGTCGAGCTGCCCTTCGCGTCCCTCGAGGCTATTCTGACGTCGTCCCCGGCCGAGACGTCCAAGCCCGCGCTGCCATTGAGCCTGTGCAAGGAAGAGCTCAAGAGGAACGGTGCCGCCGCTTCCAGAGGCCCGGCGCTGAGTGCGCCGACTCAGGCCAAACTTAACGAGTCCAGTCGACTTTGAAAAGGAAAAGGGAAGCTCGTGTTTTTCCGCACACCGGGACTGAGTCAAATTGTACCTCAGAGTGTGACGATAAAAATGCCCGTGGAGTGATCCACATTAGTGATTAATTTTTGCGCCGCGGTGGGATCGGTATAAGTCAATTTCAATTTCAATTATGTTTTACATTCAGTGTACAAAAGGGGGGTAAGGAATCAGGAGTAAAAAGCTGGAGTGATACAGCCTGACAGAGCCCCTGTCACCTACATTTGTCAGCTTGGTGGGCAGAAAAAAGTACCAAAATATTTCAACAGGATTTAAGAGGTTACATACGAGAAGTAATACGCGGTTAGAGAGTCGCAACATGTAACATTTCGCATAGAGCTAAGTGACGAGATGGACCAGTGTTCTGAAAAACTTTGCCGTAAAAAAAGTGAGAACCATGGTCTCTGGAACGTGTTTAAGACAAGTGTGTTCACTGCATTTTTATTGTGACCTCCCAATTTAGGCCTGACGATGTCGCGACTTTGTAATGCTACGGTTCGCCGCGATCTTGGAGGTGTCACAGGAGCGGAGGTGGAGCTGGCAGACGTCTGTTCGGCTGGAGCTCGCTCTGCGGCCGTTCAGTCGATGGAAACTCCGGCATTCACGGGTTGGGACGCCACAATGACATCAATGCCTTCCGGTCGTTCTTTTTGTTTCGCCCATTCTTCTACAACCAATCTCCGAGGTCGGGACAATCCGTCACATTAATCGGCAGCTTCTATGATGCCACTTGCCGCCATTTCGAGCCTGCACTGTACGGGAGGTCTAGGATTCCTAAAAAAAATAGTTCGAGAAAGTCTCGGGATCTAGTTTGACCAGCTGCGAAACCCTGTAACGGCTATCATCATCTCTGGGGCTCTAAACTCGTCAAACACAAAGTTGGGGCCGAAGTTCACGGAGCACACCGATTGGCCTATCACGATGATGACTTCGCTCTTTTTTGGCCGGCGCCCAATCGGCGCGCCCCGCAAACTTTCGGCTCCAACTTTGTGTTTGACGAGTTTAGGGCCCATGGAGAAAAAGAAAGGTATACTTCGTTTCATACTATGTCGGAGCGCAGTCGAAGCCAGGAGCACATACAACCACAAGCACACTTACCAAAAACGCAAGTCACTGGGCCTCTCCTGTACATGATTGGTTTAGCAATGATAGGACGCATACAGGAGAGTGATGAACATCATGACGTTGTGCTTTTGAGTCTGTATATTGGGTTCCATCAGGGCTTGTAATCTCGGCTTCGTCCGGACATAAGGTGAAACGAAGTATTTGCTCATGTTCTTTAAAACGTTTCAGCCTAGCGTTGCCGTAATACCGCTACCGTTACTGCCATGCCAGATCCAGGCCAAGAACGTACCGCGGTAACTTTTAACGTCATCATGCTTTTTTTTTTTTTTTTGTCAGGGCGGTGTAGCTTAATGGTAGGCTCATAACGTTTCCTTCGTGGTACGCTTCCGGTGGCCGTCATGGTAACGGCATTACGATAACACCATGCTGCAAACAAAGTTCGGTCAGCTCTCTGACGTCACTGCACTGCGGTGGCGCTGCTGTTGGCACTGCGTGTGCGCAGATGCTTCGCCTCACGCAGATCTAGTTTCTGCACACGCGCAATGCCCACACCCGGTGTGGGCAAACGGGGACTTGTATGTAAACAGTGTGTTAATGTATACCCACCATGATGGCGTCAGCGCAAATTCACAAACGTCACAGTGACGCGGCGCATCGACTGGGCAGATTTGCCGTGTCCCCACTCAGTCAGATGAAGACCGCCTGAAAGACAAGGTGTGTTGCCAGCTGCAACCTGTCGGAATGCGGACGTTTGAATGACGTGAAACAACAGTGAAGCGCTTTGTGTGGAGCCATATTGTAGACACTTCGAGGTCAGTTAGATGAATTGCCAAATGTACATTTTTGCGTGCTAATCAATCCGTCTACTTGTTTACTGTGTATAAATAATGAAAAATTGCCTCTTGGTCGTTGTAGCAACACTTTTTTTGTATATTTTGTCTTCACGATATCCATCAGAATAAATAGAACCGAGAGATTTTCATTGTAGATTTCTTCCTAACAATACAGCTCCTAAATGTTAGTTAAGCTTATAATCTATATAACCCTAAAAAGACGATTAGTGACAAAAAAACTCCTGAACTGAAAGGTTTTGTAGTATTAAAATAGTAATTTAGAATCAAAAAAATTTAAACGCTCAAATGTTGAAAAAAAAAAGTATTAAGTGATCTTTTTTGTTCTTACTGGACAGCAATTTACACCAACAATGTTCAGCGCGAATTGTGTGACCGTGCATCAAAACGCGTGCATTCATTAAAAGAAAAGAAATCGGAAACATTCTTCGCCGACTTTGAATTTGCAAAGTATATATCATGCTTTATTTACACAAATATCACCTTCAAAGAGTACAGACCGATATGTACAGTATCATACAGTGGAAGAATAAAAGTGTTCTTTACCTCGTGAACATTCTTTCTGTCCGCCATACGATTTGTGGTTTTGCACGCGTACACGCGTACCCCGTTCTATGTAATCTGGAGCTTGTGCTCTCCCGCGAAGCATTCGGGAGATCCAATCTCGGCGATCTGCAGAGGGCGCTCTGCAAATGACGGGGCTCCAGATTTCTTTATAGTGCAAGCTCTAACGACGATATCATATAAAACACACTTCACAGAAAAAGAAAAAAAGAAGGCTCGAAAGTCGGCCATCTTGCCCAATCATTACCCGCAAACGTGACAAACCTCGCGAGAGGGAACAGAGTGCCATTTCTTCCCTAAGAACGGCCACTACGATGCACTGATATTTTCTGAAAGAAAGTATTATCATTCGTCAGGTTATCAATAAACGTCGTAATGAAGCCTTCTTGCTTAAAAAAAGAAAAAAAAAATCAACAAGCGGCAAGTTACGGCTAGGCAAATCCTCTATTAGGAAATGCAACCGAAGCTTCTAAATCGTCACTTCGGGACCTTTGTTCCGTGCTCGTTCTTGTTTGAAATCCCTGCCAGCAGAAGTTCCTCCGGTATTTTGATCTTCCCAGCGATGCTATAGTTTTGAGCTCTCGGATTTCAGACAAAACTACATTCAGAGCCTTTCCCGAAGGCATTTTAAGTCCAACGCCCTCAGCCTTGACTCGTATCTCTCAACGTGGAAACAACTTTAAACTCGGGAAACGCGTTACGACGTTTCACCAGCCACACTCGGTTTAAGGCTAAGCCGACAAAACGGTCGAAGCTATATAGGTGCTTGCCGTACCAAACAATCGCCCGTCTTTTATCGTCCGTCCCCACTCTCTCCGCATGAGTGTGCCCATAAAGCCTGACCAGGTGAAAACTGGCGGCTGACTGGTCCAACTAAAGCCTATCGACGCGCTCGTGCTTGTCTCTCAGGTATACAGATACGCGAACGCACACCAGGTACGTGCCTCGTATACCACCCTGGGAAGCAAATGGCGGCGCAGCACTGAAACGAGCCACTCTCGGAAGCAAAAAAAATTGCGGCCGAGGACTCACTCCTGGCACGAGTCTCGCTTTTTCGCGCAACCCTAGTTGTCGGGACTTCTAAGAAACGTTCAGCTTGGGTTTCATTGAGGAGCGTTAGGTTCAACAGATCCGTTGGTCCCACCGTCCTGTCAACTGAAAGTCATGGTCACATTGCTGACACATCATGCAAAAAACCGTCCGCAGTCGTGTTTGATGCATAAATATGTATGACGCTAACATGCTTCGAAAATGCTCGAGACCGTGTCCACAGATCAAATACTCATTCTTGAACAGAATTTGGTACTAGCGGCGAAATGCCGCGCAAAAAGATTTTGGGAACCCGTTGAGCCACTAGGTTTCGATTTCGATTGGCAAAGGTCACTTCACGACGTCACGTCAAGACCAAATACAGCGCTTGCATTTTCAACTGTGCGACTTTCCTTTAAAATTTATAATATCTGAGGCGTTACCCTACCGATACCGATGGAAGACTGGGGTGCATTTTTATGGGCTTCCAACGTGCCGGAGCTTGTATACGTAGGTAAACACAGATTGAAGATGGCACATGGAAGAAGTATACTGTGCCGGTCATCCTGTATCATCGGCTCCTCGGTACCCTGGACTTCTTAAATTATCCGTGAAACGGAGAGGGACGTGCCGCAACTCTGGAGTGGTTGCCAGGCCGCCAGAGAGAGATGGGACGCGACCGGACTCCTCGCTAAGCCCAAGGCATGCCCTTACGGCCGCTGGTGGTCAGTGTCTTAGGTGATGCTTTTACCAAGGTGAATGGGTGCGATGCGAAGGAGCGCCGAACTAATTTTTGTGCAGTGCCGAGATACACTACACTTTGTCAGCGGGGCGATCGAAACCGAAACTACGCCACTCCTTCCATGGCCAACCAGGTTCCCTGATGCAGCGAGCACAGTGTTGCATGCACAGATTTTTGGAGACAGCCTACTCCGTCGTCGTGTCAGCGGCGAGCACCGTGTCCTTTGTATGATGTACGAGAAGTGTAGTCGCAGTTTAACAGAGAACGGAGTTTAACTTGCACCTTAATTTACTCTTCTCTCCCGCCACGTACTCTGTCTGTGGGTAGGGGCATGCACCACTCCAATCACCGCTTTTTGCGCGCCGCCATCTTTTTCGACTGGGCTGTGGAACAGGTTCCGAGCATGCGCGGTAGCTCTCTTCCGCGAAATACCATATGCCGCGCATGCGTCCAGAACACCGTGAGTCCGCATCTTTTGCCCGGACGATAAGCGCCGGAAAAGGTGTATACAACTTCCGAGTGTGGTCCACGTTACATCAGCCAAGTTCGGCTCAGACGCGAGCCTCCTGAGCATCGTTACGGTGGTCCTTTTCGGCCCTGTCCCGATCTTCGGTCGTCGCCGGAGTCGTGGTCGTCACGGCCGGCTCCTGTCGCACGTCTTCGATGACGCCGTTCTCCGGGTCCCTCCCGTCGGCCTTGGCCTTGACCGGGTCTGCGTTTTCCTTCTTGACCGGCAGGCGGGAAGCGATGCCGGCGTACACGTCTTGCGTGAGCTGCTTCAGCCTGGGCGGGCAGCACAGCTCGCACGAGCTGAAGATCTCGCCCAGCTGCGCGAACGGTTCCTCTACGGCCAGGTAGACGAAGAACGAGAGAACCAGGGAGATGCTGTAGTGGCCGAAGAACAGGTGCATCTGCGTGGGAGGACGGGACAAGTGGGGTTCGGTTCTGCCGAATAGCCAGAGTCGCTCTTGATTTGGTACATTTGACAAAGACTATATTTAGACATGTTCGTCGCGTACATATATGTATAAAGAAAACATACTTCGAAACTTCTTGAGGCTTGGTAATTCTGTCATCAAATCTGTGGCGAACACCATGTCTTTTGTGTGACGTACGAGCAGTGTTATTATACTCCGAGGTTGAGCGCAGTAAACGCAGCGTAGCGCAAAACGCGCGCCTTTCATTTGCCGGCGACCAGGAACTCGATATCTGCGACCAATCAGTATCAGTGTGCGCTGCGCTATAGGCCGCGCCTGTCAACGTTATGTTGAAGTATAAACGCACATTTACTGGGGCTTAACGTTGTAAAGATAACGCTGATCGGTCAAATTTTGATTTGGCACTGTTACTGATCGAAGACAGAAACAGACGGTCTGCTGCTTTATTGACTCGTTCTCTAAACCGAGTTTGGACGCCCAAGTTCTGGATCACTGGCGGAGAAACGAGCGGTCACGTGCAAAAAGTCGCACGAAAAGCTATCGACAACAGGACGACGACTTATGATTAACTAGGCTTATTATTGTATTTATCTCAATGTTTATTTGTGAAGTAAAAATTTCACAACGCCCCAATCATTGTTACGCCGCACATAAGTGTCACAAAACTGGTTTGTATCCGATTCGGACAAAATGCGACCCTTTAGGCATTTAAAAACAATACAGATCATCTGTCAACATGGAGGGAAAGCACCGGTCAAAGTTTCTAACTTTAGACTGAAGACTCGTTTTTACGGGTCACAGTGCGCAGAAAAGAAGGAACCATTGCGTGGCGTAATGTCCCAGGGGCAAGCGGTCCCCACCCCTCCCCCACTCACCATATCAAAGTGCGAGAAGAAGGTGATGTGGCGGTTCTGAGCCTTCTGGGAGATGATGACCAGCGGGTGGACGAGCAGCATGGAGTAGCTCAGGCGGCCGACGACCTTCAGGGGTCCCCACGACAGCCAGTCGTTCAGCAAGCCTGAGTGGGACACTCAAAGCTATCGGGAACGTGGTAGCAGCTCCCCGGACTGGTACATAGCGCGTTACAAGTAACGCATCACTTGTACCTATACTTTGATTTACTTTTAGTCCAGACGTAGCGGACGCTACGAGTTGATGGGACCAATCAAAACATCGCGAAAAGTGCAAGTCACTAAGTCTTTCCTGTACACGATTGGTTCAGCGACGATGCTACACGCACGACACTTGACGAACACCATGACGTTGTATTTTTGACGCCCGTTTGATTGGTCCGATCGGCTCGTAACGCCGGCTGCCTCTTGACGTAAGGTGAGACGAAGTACAGTTACTTATTTTCTGGTAACGAAGAAACGACCTAGTTACTCTTTTGAGGGAATGAACAAGTAACGTATATTTTCTTTACTCTTTGATGAAGTAACCAGTTCATAACCGATATTTAGTTATTTCTGGAGGAGAACGAGTGCAACACAAGTACTTAACCTAGTTCTCACTCCAGCTCGCGGCTGTAATTTCCACGACGAGAAAATGCAAGATTGTAGCCTTTAGATATAAAGACCATACAAGGATGTGCACGAGGTATGTAAGTATAACCAGTTGTTCCCGAATGAAAGCATTTAAAAGCGAGGAATTATTAACGACGACAAATATTAAGATCCGCTGTTGCTTCATAAAAACGACACATTCAAAGTAAATACAATATAAGGGCGTTAGTCTCAAATTGAGGTAACGAGTTCCCTTTTGAATCGCAGTAACGAGTAACATACTTGGTTACTTTTTTGAGTGAGTAATGAGTAAGGGCATTTAGTTACTCTATTTCAGTAATGTGCAGGTGTCTGCAGCTCTCCGGCCGGACTGGCCAATGACGACTGCGGACGCGACGTCAAAGGAGAGTCCACGAGCCTCGCAGAAGCACGATCAGATGTAAACTGCCGTCACACTGGCAAAAGACGTACGCTGTTCGCTTCAGTCATCATGACGAAAGCGAACATTGAACGCATCTCAAGCCTGTTCGACGCAGGTATGCTTCCTACACATGTGTGCTTCGAACGTGCCTTCAGGATAGATTTTGTACGACCAATATGGCGAGACCCGCCATGCGAGGAAGAAACACGTCACGAGAATAGAAAGCGCGAAAGACAAGGACAAGTGGAAGATAACACGGGTCCAGCACTTGCCCTGGGTAGTATTGCAGTTGTCCTTGTCTTCCGCGCTTTCTATTTTCGTGTTGCTTAACCGACTAGGCCAACGAATTATTGTGCTAAAGAAATACGTCTCAGACGCTGTCTGCAGGCCGTGTATTGTATGATATGTTAGCAGTGTGACCGCAACTTTGTGCCAAGAACGCGAGGTTCGCAAAAAAAAAAAAAAAAAAAGAAAGTGGCGTGCACATTTATATCATTGTTTTGTGTCCAAAATTAAAAACGAGTTTTCTTTTAGCAGGCTTGAAATAAAAGGATTACAAAATTTTGGAACCAGAGTAAGTGCTCCGTCTCGCAGCCTTAATAGACGTTTCGCGATTTCAGAACAAAAGAACTTTACCTAGACTCTTAGAGTGACTGAAGTTTGGTTTACCTCTAGTACCACTGCAAACATATTACGAAAAACACCAACAAAAAACGCAACACCGTTGTTTTCTTTTGTTTGCATTTGAAAATATCTTATCTTTTAAATAATTAACTTTAGAACGGCGTGATTTAAGTAAGTTATGAACAGCTAAACGACAACAAAAGCAAAAAAAAAAAAAAATCCAAGGGCACGCGACCGTGTTTAAAGGGGCGGTGCAATGATTTTAACACTGAACGAATGTGCAGCTTGTATTTTTTATATTGTTTACTTCGGCAAAAGTAAGAGAAAAAGTGCCATCCTACCCCAAAATACCTCTATTTCGCTGCGTAATCGCAAAATAAAAAACGCTTTTTTTCACAACCTGCGGCCACATAGTGGCCGCATATGGAACCTGTGGTGTGACGTCATTCGGAGTGGTTTTTGTAAGTGACAGTGTTAGGCAATTGTAAGCTTGAATTAAGGTTAAGTTTAAAAAAGCTTGTTGTTTAGGCATGCAGAAACGCTTCAAAAGCCTAATATTGGCGCTAAAATATTTGTGGCGCCATCTACTGCAAGTCAACCAAACCTGCCGTCGCCGTCATCCGTCGACGCCCGAGGCGCCTACGGCGGCTACACGAGCAACCCGGACATTTTGTCTTTCCCTCGCTCGACGGAGTGCGTTGGTCATGGTCCGTAGTATCGTGGTACCATTATTGTTCCTGGTGTCTCGACCTCGACTTCCACTGCCCGCCGCACAAGTCCAACTGACTTACTATACGCAAGCATCATGCGCTCGACGTCGCTCAGGCCGTCCGCCCATGCCGCCATGTTGGTCGGGAATCGGCGGGAGAGCGGGAGAGCGGGAGAGCGGCGAGCCGGGCGAGCCGGCGAGCGCTGGGGAAACGGAAGCCAGAAGAACCCAACCGGAAACCAACGCCACTCCGAATGACGTCACAGGCGAAGCTGGTGCCGCTTCAATGTTAAGTTGAGGAGTGCCAGAGATACCAATTTCTTTTATTTTTTTTAATGAAAACTAGGGCAAGCAGAAAAGAATAGTTTTTGTCCTTCGTTTTATATGTGGCCGGGATCAATTCCCGCAATTAATTAGCCAAAGTCCGCAAATTGTTGCACCGCCCCTTTAAGCATCATCAGATGATTCGAAATCTTTTGTTTGCGAGAAGACACGCTCCAGAGAGGTTGATCAGTTGCAAAAAAAAAAAAAAAACATTACGTTGAAGAAGACAGATAGCGAGACGTTAAACGATTGCAGAGTTCTTGTACTTTTTGCACGTGCATAGCCTGTATGTGCCACCATTGTTCCTGTTTTGCCTTTCTGCGTCTCAAAACAAAAAGACAAAAAAAAAAAAAAAAAAAAAGGTGAGGATGATTTAGCGTCTCTAAAGAAAACGCCAACGTATAAATTGAGGCAAGAATATTTGGGTTATAATAAACCGCGAACACTGACGCTAGCTCAAACTCCAGGAAAAGCGTCGCATATGCAGCGCTATAAAAAGCCTCGCTGCAATTTCGCGGAGCGCTGTGGTGCCTGGCGGTGAGACGTGGCCGTATCTTGATGAATCACTTGGCAAGGTTTTTTGGAATAAGCGTTCCCGGAATTTGTGTGGCCATAGCTCAAACTCTTTTTAAGAAGCAGGATATCCCTTTGCGAAGTCGTGAGCCATCGGACGCACCCTCCTAGAAGGATCCCGTAACGTATAGTACAATACCAAAATTTATGTAATCGCGCGCAATTGCAGGGTTCATTTGATTACAAACATACACGATTGCAAACGCGCAAAGACGAGAAGCACCGTGACGATGCACTTTTCGTACTGCTTGATTTGATCCGTCGGTTCGTAGCTTCGGCTACGGCCCCACGCGTGGAATGAAGCGTGGTGTGGTGAAAATGCTGTATTCGAAGCACTGGCTTCGGCAGTAAAAATCAGCGATCGGAAACACCTTGTCCGTGTAAACTTCTAAAAAGCACCGATATCGCGTTTTACGATAGTTGTGGGATGCGGTGTCCAATTACAAGATGCGTACCAATCTCTTGGGGAAAACACGGTGCATTCTATGTAAATTAACTGCACGCTTTTATCGAACAAAAACCCAGGCAAAGCATACTTTACATACCTTTTAAGTGTGTTCGAGGCTCGAAACGAATTGGTCAGGTATGATTCTTTTAGATTTCGTTACATCACGGAGAGTTTTGCGAAAGCGACCTGATGGAAGTAGTTGGAAGCAGCCTCTGGAGGGCCTGAACACGCGCCAAACCACTGCTGAAGTTTTTTTTTTTTTTTTTTTTTTTTAATTTTACGTTCTAATAATTTGCTTGGTTGACTACACTTTCTTAATAAGAAATACATTTTGCGGCTGCGTTTAACTTTGCCAGAAATCTAAGCGTGGATGTAGACCTTGCCGGCTGTAAACGGGATCGGAGAGCGGGCGCGCAGTTAAAGTAAATGTTATGGTTTACGTGCCTGGCATGCCCCTGCAGCGACGGACTGAGGAATAATTTCAACTACATGGAAATCTTTTCGCGTGCAAACGAAGCTTAGTTACACTGGGCCTCCTCCTCAATAAAACAGTGGAGAGTTTCCGTAGGAACGGAAATTGTAGTAGACCGTTCTCGCAGCCCGTTAAGCACCCGGATAGAGCTCCGTAATCCGCCACAAGACCTTGAACTATGCAGACAAGGCTGGCGGCGCGCATGCGCAGACGCCGCTAACTGGCATGCGCGTCACTGGCCTTGACTGCAGATTTGCAGATATCGTAGCGGGTTGCGAAGAGCGTCCTGGGAATGAATAAACCATACATCTTCGAACTAAAAGTGTAGTAGACACATAAAAAATATCTTTACGGATAATGACACCAACTTTTAGTGCACTCTACAAAGTATACGTCAAGTGTATTTTTGTTCTCATTAAAGTGGGACGTACTATTTATTTAGTATATTTTTCTTAAAATGCTTACATAGCGAGTTTATAGAATAAGTCCGAAAAATATTTAAAAAAAAAACATTCGTTTTCTATTTTTATCACGTGTAGTTTGCAATTAAGACGACGTGTAATGCCAAATGAACGAGGCAAGAGGCACAAACACTGTCCTTTGGGGTATGAAAATATCTAGGAAAACTCTGAAGCACCCGTATCTTCTACGTAAAGCCCCACGCCCAAATTCTTATATCCGTAATAATAATAAAAAAGAACGAAAACTCGATCGAAGCTGTGCGAGCGAAATATGCCCGAAAAGCTTCCACTTGTATACCTGGGGCCCTAAACTCGTCAAATACAAAGTTGTAGCCGAAAGTTCGCAGAGCGCGCCGATTGGATGTCGACGAGAAAAACGCGAAGTCATTGTCGTGATTGTCCAATCGGCGCGCTCCGTCAACTTTGCCTCCAACTTTGTATTTGACGAGTTTAGGGCCCCAGGGGTCCTAAACTCGTGAAACACAAAGTTGGAGCCGAAAGTTGGCGGAGCGCGCCGATTGGATGTTGGCGACAAAAACGCCGAGTCATCGTCGTTATAGTCCAATTGGTGCGCTCCCTCAACTTCGGCCCCAACTTCGTGTTTCACGAGTTTAGGGCCCCAGGCGGCCGTCTCCTTGGCAGATTATCAGCTTGACCAATAAAAACAGGCGAGAGAGGTACGGCGTATTCCATTGCCATGTAGTCGTAAGGACAAAAAGGGAGTCCACCTTGTGTGTCCCTCGAACCGCATTGCCGCTGGCTTACGATACAGATTGCAATTCTTACTGGCTGAACTGAGTGTAGTACCAGGGAGTTTATTGCGTTGAATTGCGGTACGGTATTCGCACCCCTGACTGTCGTTCACACTATAATCGCTCCCACACTCAGAAAAAGACTGTGCGTCTACTTTCACACGCAACACTCGGAGAGCCAATCAGCGCAACACTCTAAAAAAAGCCCGTGAGTCTGCTTTCCCGCACAGCACTCGGAGAGCCAATCACCGCAACTTACGGAGGCAGCTCAGCGAATGACGATGCCGAAACAAATGTTTAGACCAAAAAGCGCAGTCTGAGTTGTAACATTAAGCAATTCAAGCGTGACGTTTTGCATTGCTTAATGTCACAACTCAGACTGCGTTTTTTGGTCTAAACATACGTTTCGGCATCGTCATTCGCTGAGCTGCCTCCGTAAGTTGCGGCGATTGGCTCTCCGAGTAATGTGCGTGAAAGTAGACGCACAAACATTTTGTAGAGTGAACTTGTGGAGGCAGCTCAGCGAACGACGATGCCGAAACATATGTTTAGACTCAAAAACGCAGTCTGAGTTGTGACATTAAGCAATGCAAAACATCACGCTTGCATTGCTTAATATCACAGCTCGGTCTGCGTTTTTTGGTCGAAACATATGTTTCTGCATTGTCATTCGCTGAATTGCCTCCGTAAGTTGTGCTGATTGATTCTCCGACTGTTGTGGGTGAAAGTAGACGCACAGGCTTTTTTTTTTTAAATTGCAATACAAGAAACGCTGGACATGGCGGGCACTTCAAAGCATCTGAATGTCGCTTCGCAACCAGCGAGACTGCGACATCAGCCTATAAGAAAGTCGTCTTTTTGGTGATGATGATCGTAAGGATGATGACGACGAAGATGATCATGATTACGATGACTTTGAGTAATTTACAATTTAAGAAACGCAGGGCGTAACGTTTTTGCGTTCATGATTCTTGCCTCGTGGTTTGTCCTTCGGATTTCTTATGGGCTAACGCCGCAAAAAGGGGGTCAGAAATAAAAATGTATTTGCGACAAAATATAAAAAAGGGAGATACTTCCGCAGAAACGGGAAACGTCGAAAGGAGGGGGCAGCGTTCCTTACGGGCGTGCCTCGTGGCGCACGCGTAGAGTACCCAGGCCACGGCCAGCGCCCACAGGGTCCTATGCAGGGCGGCGTAGAGGGCGGCCCCGGCCGGACTGGCATGGTCCAGGCTCCAGCCGAAGCCGCAGTGGAAGAGCACGCTCGTGGTCGTCACGCACGCCACCCAGCCCAGCACGTACGCCAGCTGCAAGGGGAGAGGCACGTGACCTAGTAGACTCGAGAAATTATAACTACACACCACAGCAATAAACGTATTGAGAGGCGAAGATTTATAGGCACCTTCAATTTTATGTAAATGCATGGCTCGTACGGTACGTGGGTGGTTATTCCTAGAGCCACTAAACACGGTGTTCTTGTAGACGCGGCCATTTTGTTGCCGAGTGCAGAGCGAGCGAAATTGGCGATTTTTGGTAAATGCGGCATACTGAGCTTTAGGCAAGGGAGTTTTAGGGGACCGTTTTCTCACATCCGATACGGCGTACGATGGGTCCTCCGGTACGAACTGCGCATTTGCTACTGCAGCAGCCTCTCGCACATACGCAATTCGTACCGGAGGGCCCGTTGTATAGTATCGGACGTGCAAAAACGGCTCCCTAAAACTCTCTACTCTGTCACGGAGCTTAGGCGATATCTCTTTTCTCTGTAGCGGGTCTGTTCTACCGTTGCTGGAGGACAAACAATTGTTTCCTGCGACTGCAGACTCAACTTTAGATGGCCGGTAGCAACAACTCTAAGCAATAAGATGGCTGAAGTCGAAGACAATTCTTACATTAGTGTTTATAACATGAAAATTTTAAACTTTGGTATCTTTAGCCCCAACCGCTATAGTTTTATACACTTGGGTAGAACATCAGTTTTCGTCGATCTTAACTGCAAGTGACGCAGATACATGATTCAGTTTTTTTTTTTTTTTTTTTCAGCCACACACACACCAAAAACACACACAAAAGTATAGCAGAAAGACAAAAGATTAAAACGTTCGTTCGCTCTGACAGTCGGGCTTCGCTGTCTTGACGACGCGGTTGAAAGCTTCGTGGGTTCGCCGACTGCTTACCTTGGAGAGTCTGCTCTTTCCGAACTGAGCGAGCGCGCAGCCGAGCCCGATGCCGACGCAGAAGGAGCCCAGGTGGGTGTAAGGCTTGTGGTACACCCAGGTCGACAGCCGCTCCACTTCGCTGCACGCACCGGAATCATATCAACCGACACCCATTCATGTGCACACAGAGAGCGTTTGCACAAAGTGGAGGGCGTACAGTAACTGACCACAGTGACACTGCTAACACATAATACAAAAGACCATCTGCGGACACTGCCTGCGGACAGTTTGCGGACTCGCTCGAGTCTTGTCCGCAAGTAATTTTCTTACCATGTTTGGAGTGAACTGCGTGTCTTTTTTACGATGTTGGAGCAGCGCGACTGGGTCTTCAAAAACGCCGAGAGGGGCTTATTAAGTTCACGTTCTTTGCTCCATGATTTGTCCTTTAAAATTGTTATCGGCTTATGTCCTAATTTTATTGGCTGCGCAGCGATAATGAGATGTTCGGAACTAGAATCGTCGCATCGCGTTTCTTAAGCCGTGAGTTGACTATAGTTTGGACAATCGGTGCTCTGCTCGTTCTCGAGCAATATCACGATTTTGAAGCGAGTTATACTAAGGGGCCAACGAGACTGGTGTTTCAACGCAACAAACTTGTCTTCTTCTTTTCTTTTTTTTTTATATTAGCCAATAGAAGCAAACGTTTTCGCGTACTAGGCGTCCTATCGCCTATCCTCTCGAAATATGCACCCAGCCGCCATCTATCGGCGCTTGCAGAAGGTGTTTCCTAGCCAGTTTCCAGAGCAGTGGCCCTATTATCTTTGCTCTACTTGAGACGCTTATTATGACCAGCTTGGCAATCTTTTTCGAAAATACTGGACCGGCCAAAATGACCAAGATAGTACTTCTTTCCAGCTCACAAAGACAGCGGACGCTGGGGTTAAGAGACAGGCGCCGTCGCTCAACTCCTCTTAGCGACGTGCGCGATCAAAAGCGTCGCCGTAGTCGGCATTCGCGAATGGCCAAACCATAGCTTCCTGTATAATGATAATGCCTGCTCAATCGCCGATTCACGGCGAAACAATACCTGCCAATCACAATGGGGCAAATACTAGTCGTGACGTCACGAACAGAAATCATAAGAGGACGCCATCGAAACATCTCGGAGATATAATAGTTCCTAAAATGTGCGACTAGCTCATTTCTTTTTTGGCGGTGATGAAGTCGAGGCACTGGCTGTTGCTTCTTCTGCCATCTTTGAGGAAGTTGATGGCAGGTAGTATATAGTCTTCTAATCGCCAAACGAGAAAAATCGATATATAACTAATTCATTCACGTTAAAAAGAAAAAAAAAAGGTGAAATACTTGAAATCGGAAATCATGGCACGCGAATATCGGAACTGGCTGTATTCCTTTTTGTATATTGAAACGCGACAGGAGCAGAGCTCATTGCCCAACAGTGTTGTCAAATTAGTCAGAAAGATTACCGATTACTCGAAATCTACGTATACTTACATTGCCTGATGTATACCCTTACGAAGAGACAGAGGAAGGTACCCCGCTATTGATCGAGGCGCGCGCTTCTTTCCACCGGTCTACCCAAACGTACCTGTAGTTTGGCTCGAAGATGCTCCCCGGCGGAAGGTCCTTGGCGAAAGTGACGGCTCCCGTGACGACGCACCCGGCGACCGCAAAGCCAAGCAAGCTCGCGTAGCCCACCTTGAAGTTTCTGGGGGTTCGAAGAAAGAACCGAATATAATAGGGAGTTTTAGCAGGTCGTTTCCGCAATCCACACAAACGGTTCGGCCTCGAACGCATCCGCGACGCCACTGCGCATGCGTGCGCGAGTCGTTCGGGGAGTCGGGAGGCTCTTCTCGTTCGTTTCTCCCATTCCGGCCGCTGGAGTCGTCACCGCAACGCAGCCAGCACCGTTCACGACTCGGGTAAAAAAAAGATGGCGGCCGAACCGAGCGTTATGCTTAGGACAGTGGGAGGCGATTTGCCGTCCTATTAGTCTGCTTCATTTGAAAAGTTGAACCAAACCATTTCGAGGACTGCTCACAATGGTAAACGATCGTGAATGCTGTAAACTCAAGGCATATAAGCGGCTACCCAGCGACGGAACGGCGCAGTCCAGCGGCCCGCGCAGCAGCGCTAACACTGCACTTTTTTTGTCAGGACACAAAGCACGGCCCGTTCCTGTCTGATCGTCACAGGCAAGAGCTGACGTGGCCCATCTCTGCCAACACAGCGTGACTCGCCGATTATGGAGGGCACGGCCAACACCCATGTGACCCACCGCAACGACATCTGCTGACATTCAAGGCATATAAGCGGCTACCCAGCGACGGAACGGCGCAGTCCAGCGGCCCGCGCAGCAGCGCTAACACTGCACTTTTTTTGTCAGGTATGTAGAAGTGGCATGAATGTTCTATGGCCTTATTTATGTAACCGCTGGACTGCACAACTACAGCAAACTGTTTTACTATTGTTGTTTTCTTTTCATTACTTGTTTATGCATATTTGTTGTAGTTCGTAGTCGGAGAGGGCATTATAGGCGAAACCTAAAAATGGACACGCTCCCGGTACTGTCCGCTATTGAAGAACTAAAGAAGGAACTAAAATCTGAAATTGCTGAGCTAAAAGAGAGCACAGATTTCTGTTCGAAGTCAGTCGACGAGTTCAAGACTGCCCTGAACGAGTTAAAACATTTCAAGGCACAACTAGGCCAACTGAATGCTGCAAATGAGCAGTTGAGGAGTGAGAATAAAGAACTGCGCAGCAGCCTAGAAAATTCAGTGAACCGAATTGCTGAATTGGAACAATACAGCAGGCTAAAGAACTTAGAAATAAAGGGCGTCCCTGTCAACACCAACGAAAACGTGCAGGATGTCATAAAACAGATAACCGAAACACTGTCGGTTCCTCTCGAGATGCAAGACGTAGACGTTTGTCATAGGGTACCGACTAAACAGCCCAGTCAACAGCACATTGTTGTGCAGTTTACAACACGCCAAAAGAGAGACGCGGTCTTGTACGCGGCCAAGAAGAAGCGACTAACCACTGGAATGATCGGCATCCCCGGACAAACGTCTCCTATATTTGTTAATGAGCATCTCACCCTGGCGAACAAGCTGCTCCTAAGTGAAACAATCAAGGCAAAGAAAGGCAAAAGTTGGAAGTTTGTGTGGACGAAGAATGGAAAAGTGTACGCCAGGAAAACCGAAAACTCTAGGGTCGTAAACATACAAAACATGTCAGACATAGAAAAAATCGTGTAAACTATCATGGCAGAAACACAGTTCACCATTCCTGAACCGGAGGTTTCCTGCGACTATTATACCGCTGATACCTTTAACAAACTTGATGTGGTTGCCAAACCTGGCTTTTCGGTTTTTCATATGAACGCAAGGAGCCTGCAAAATAAAATAGATGACATAGAAATATTTCTTACACCTTTAAACACAAAATTTGATGTGTTAATGTTCACAGAAACATGGTATTCAGCCAAGGCATCACCCATAAAATTTCCAGAATATACGTGCTTGCATATTGATAGAACTAGCAAATCTGGAGGTGGCGTAGCTATCTATCACAAATATGCACTTTCAATGACTGTAATCGAGAGTTGCTCGGTAATAACTACTGATGTTGAATGCCTTGTTGCCCAGCACCGTGACACTTTTTTTGTAGTGTTATACCGCCCCCCATCCGGAAATTTCGGAAAGTTTTGCTCCTACCTTGAATCTATACTAACGAACCTCTTGTATAAAAACGAAAATATTGTAATAATGGGAGACATCAACATCGATCTACTTTGTGATACAACTAATCAGCAGCAATTTCACGACCTAATACAGTCCTACGGCTGTGCGAACTTGATAAATATTCCAACAAGAGTGACGTCACGGAGTAGCACCCTTATCGATGTCTGCATTACAAATATAAACCCACTGGACGCCGTTCCTGGGGTGTTCTTGGCGGATATGAGTGACCATTTCCCTTTGTTCTGCTTCCTTTCGCACCTTAAACCCTCCCGCAGTTTACCGCAATCAAGTATTAATTTTTTTCAAAAAATTGATCACCACAGTTTAGAAACTTTTTATAATCTAATATCTGAAGTAAACTGGGAAGACGTGATGTCTTGTCAAAATGTCGAAGAATCTTATGCTGTTTTCTTTGCAGAACTGCAAAAGTGCTATGACGCAGCATTTCCTTTACAGAAATTTAGAGTAGGACGCAAAAAATGCAGAAAACCATGGTTGTCGAGTGACTTGGTAAAACGTATAAATAAAAAAAAATAGGATCTTTCAAAAATTTCAGAAGACTCGCGATAACAGCATATTTAAAGAATATAAGCAGTACAGGAATGCACTGAACCGTGACATTAAGAAGGCGAAAGCGCAGTATCATATTAGTAAATTCGACAATCTTCGAAATGATCCAAAACGTACCTGGAGTGCCCTAAAATCTATTATAATGCCAAATTCTAAGTCTGCCACTATAAATGAACTGCGAATGGGGACCGATGTCTACAGAGGACGTGACATGGCTAATGCAATAAATGAATATTTTATAAACGTTGGTGCCCACAATGGTAAAAATACTACCGGACCTGAGACCTTCGTGCAAACGCACCTGAAGCATACAATTATGCTCTATCCTGTTACTTCCACTGAAGTTGAAGCGATAATAAGGACTTTGAAAAATAAGGGCTCCTGTGGAGATGATAATATAAAAGTTGCACCAATTAAACACGTGTCTTCCTTGATAAGTAAGCCACTAGAACACATAGCAAACCTTATGTTTGAAAGTGGTACTTTCCCAAGTCCGTTAAAAACTGCGAGAGTAACTGTAATACATAAAAGTGGCGACAAAGATAACATCAGTAACTATCGTCCGATTTCTATACTCCCAATTCTATCCAAGGTTTTTGAAAATCTAATAAATAACAGAGTACGAAATTTTCTAACATCTTTCTCGGCACTCTCGCCAGCACAATACGGGTTTCAAAAAGGCAAATCAACTGAGCATGCACTATTGCACATCAAAGATAAGATTCTAAATAATTTTGAAAACAAGTTGCTTACACTTGGAGTATACTTGGATTTCCGAAAAGCGTTCGATAGCATCAATCATGACGTCTTATTACACAAACTGCCTCACTATGGCATTAGGGGAAAGGCCCTAGATCTAATAAGTAGCTTTCTGCGAAATCGCGAACAATATGTACAAAACAATGGTATTTGTTCCGACCACATGACACTTAAGTATGGGGTTCCGCAGGGTTCCATTTTAGGACCGTTACTTTTTATTATCTACCTTAACGACATAGTCAACATCGCAAACTCTCCAAGTTTAATTATGTACGCAGATGATACCAGTCTCCTTTTTTCTGGCACTACTGTTGACGTCATTGAACGCGATGCATATAATTATTTACGAACTTTAAACAGCTGGCTGGAGGCAAATAAAATGCAACTAAACACTAAGAAGACAAAATATATGCTATTCAGGGCAAAAAATAAAAAGATTGCCAGACAAACGCGCTTGAAAATAAATGACTGCACTATAGAACAAATATCTGACTGCAAGTTTTTAGGTGTATGGTTCAATGACCAATTATCTTGGACTACACAGATCATGAACATCAAGAAAGAGTTATCTAGAGCTATAGGAGCCATTTATAAAACAAGGGATATCTTGCCTACCTGGCTAAAAGTACAACTATATTATACTTTGTTTTATCAAAAACTGTATTATTGCTTTCTAGTATGGGGTACCACTTGCAAAACAAACTATAATGGGCTCATTCGTTTACAACAACGCATAATACGAATTGTAGCCAGCGCAAAATACGATAGCAATGCTAATGAATTACTTGGAAAACTTAACATCTTACCGCTCAATAGGCTATACCACTATAAACTTGGACAGCTAGTTCATGCAAAAGGAATAAATAGCTTTGATTTAATTCCCTCACATCTAACGGACTATAACCTAAGGGCAAAGTCAGCTTACAAACTCCCACGAACTAGGACGAATTACGGCAACCAAAAGATCAACTTCCAGATACCCCAACTCTTAAACGCTCTAGGCAACAACGTATTGCTTGCCGGCACCACAGGGGCATTTAAAAAGCAGCTTCGCTCCTTCTTGGTCGAACATGAGATACGTATTGTGTAAATATAAATATACTAATGGTTTTTACTTTTGCCTGCATATGTTTTTATTGTTTTAAAGGTGAATTATGGGAAAGGAGTTTTTTTCCTGACCATTTTTTATTTGTTACTGTTTTAGATTGTCTTTTTGACTGACGACCGTAAAATATATGGTACTTTTTAATCGTGGAATGCTTTCCATACACAAGCATTATACTTATTTTTTACACTATGCACTTTGTACTATGTAATTCATGCGTATACTTATTTTTACATAGTATATTTTATAGGCCTTTTTTTTTTCTGTCTTATTTACATATTGTGTTTCTTCTCTATCACTCCCTAACAATGTCTAATGGCGGGCGGTGTTGATTTATTGTGCTTCCTGATGTTGTTTGTACGCATATGTATTTTTTTTGCTTTGTATGATGTCTGGGTGTTATCACGATGTTGTGTTACTGTGGGTTTCTGCATGCACGGATTCTCTTTTTTTTTTGTTTTTTGCTTTTTGCTTTTTTTTTTGTATTTGCCACTGGATTTTGCCGTCCCCTGCCGGCCGCTGGCACCTCGTCAGGCAACCTGTTTGCCTTTTGTGCCAGCGGACCGTTCAAGTCGAATTTGTATTTGACTTGAAAAAATAAAATGATTGATTGATTGATTGATGCTAGTAAATTTTTGCGATCTGCGGGCAGACTAGCTGCCGTGGCGAGCGCGAGCAGACGAAATGATTTGGTTCGACGGCACACAACGTGAACAATCGTTCAAGTTCACGATGGCGGAGACAGACCTCATACCTTTACGGTCGTTCAGACACTTTTAGAGCGCAGCTCTTAGGGGCCCGTTTCCGGCTTGAGCGGCGTCGGCGTCGCCGTCGGCGTAACCGCGAGGTCACGCGACCCACCCTGGTCACGTGACCTCAGGGGGTCACGTGACCCACCCAGGTCACGTGACACCCCTAGGTCACGTGACCCCCTAAGGTCATGTGACCGCTTCGGGTCACGTGACCCCCAAAGGTCACGTGCCCCTGAGGTCACGTGACCCCCTGAGGTTACGTCACCTCAAGGAGTCACCTATCCCTCTGTACGCTTCCATCTTCCTCCTCAAGAGCTGCGCTCTAACCGGCGTTACAGGGAATTGTAAACGACTTTCATTTTTTTTACTCTATCTACCTTCGCAGTTCTTGAAATTCCGACCGGCAAATGTTACGTCGGCCGTCTTGTTTACATCAGTCGTACGCCGGAAACACGAGCCGCCACCACAGTGTCCGCCACCGTCGCCACGCGTTTACACGTCGCAGAATGTTTCACATGTGTACTAGAAGATGGCGCCACCGTTAAGCACGATCATCATCATCGTTTACACGGTCGCGCCACTTTCACGATCCGCTAAGGTATGTCAAATTTGACGTACGGTTTCACGGAACGGACCAGCAGTAACGTTCGTGATTTCAGAACCGTGTGCTTGAAAAACGACTCGCTAAAACTCCCTAATATGAAGCAGTTATCCAACTTCGTTTTTAGTACTATAGTCGCCCCTCGTTATTCCAAAATGCTAGCTCGTACGATTTTAGAAGCTCCTGCGTGTAGACTATATACTTCCTTACGATGCAGACGGTGCAGTACACACGCAGAGATTCCCGAAATTGGGTACCAACCGTCGTCTGCTTACAGTGCGTATCTGATACGTGTGTTCCTACAGGAGTATGTTGCTTGCGTTCACACAGAAAGGCACTGCGTGTTAGGTTCTCAAGAATTCCCAACACGAAACAGTGTATACCCTTCTATATATCTGACAGTGAAACATTCGCCCAGTTGCACACTAACAGGGTTATTTAGGTTTATGCTTGGCATCTTCCCAACCCGAGCGCTTACTTCTTGATGAGGATGAGCAAGAGCAGCCCCACAACGGAGTACTGCATCACGGTAGAGGGGAACCAGGTCACGAACAGGCACTGCAAAGCGAATTGCGTGTGTGGTTGGTTACTTTCGTTTAGTATAGATGGTCTGAGAAAAAGACAGTGAGAGAAAGGTATAACTGGTATGTGATGGCAAGTAAATGCTTTTATGGCATTCCTCATCACAGACGATGTTTATAACCTGCCTGGTGGGAATCGTCAGCGCCGTCATATTTGACCGCGTTTTTTTCACATTATATGCGCAGTACAGCTCCCACTTATTGTCTGCCCAAACAGACCGTCCTAAATGTCTTAGGGTATGGTGCGTTGCAGAGTGTACTTAAAGATCGTCGTAAAAAGGCGCTCATACTAAAAGCTGGTCGCAAGCTACTGCTTACAGAACGTTCAGCAGGGGGAGCAGGGTGAGCTTGACATTGCGGCGAGCGAGGAAAGCCCGTTCCAACCGCACAAGTGTCTACAGAATAGCATCTTTTACAAATCGTTCTCTGAAACTGCGTAGGCTGCTTCACAACTAAGGTTAAAGCACGCGACCTCCGAGATTAACGATGAAAAAAGAATCGCGCACCGGAGACCTCAAAGGCCATAACGGCGTGGCAGTAGAAACCGAACGCGATACGCCGCTGAGGGGACCAACTCTGCGCCCACGCACCATCTGCTCGGCGCTCCAGAAGTTGCTGACGTAGAAGAGGTTCGTCCACCAGACGGACGAGCAGCGCTCGATCTCCACTCCCGCGTAGTCCTTCCAGAAGGGGCCGTCGCTCGTCAGCGGCACCAGCAGCAGCAGGCTCAGCACCAGCAGGAACGGAGGAGTCATCCTGACGCCGCGCAATGGCGACGGCCGAGTGGGAAGGGCCACACAAAGAATTCGAGAAGACATGTACACGTTTCAGTTTCCCCGTCGCTTCTTCAAGGACCTCAGATTATCACCTTCGAGGACAATACGGGCAATTCCCTTTCTCAGGGGTGCAATGTAGGAATGCAATAAAAAAAGGAATAAAACAGCAGTAAAAAAGATAAAACATGCTACGAATAAGTGTGTAGTGATGGCCTGTAGCTGAGCCGGTTGGTTATCCATGCTTACTGATTACCAGCTGAGGAAAAGGAAGTGTATATAAAAAAAGGGTTGATAGTCCAGCAGTGTGTTTCTTTCTCTCTTCGTCGCTTTCCTAACGTTCAGCTGGTAATCAGTAAGTGTGTAGTCCCTGGAAGCTTAAGAACCGGAGGGTGTGGCCAAATATTATAATCATGCATCTCGGTTCGTGAGTTGTTCTTGGTTGCTTTTACCGGCAATTACCGCACGCAGTCTCATTGGCAGCGGAGCCATAATAAGATGCACAGAACTCACCACGCCCTGCATCATTTTGTTTTAATTCATCGGGGCTCGCATTGCAAACTATGCACCCATTTACAAGGTAAACGATAACAAACAAGACGTCGGCTTCCTGTTACCATATCTAGGGTGCCCTATAGAGTCCTCCTGTTTAGGGTGATGCCACCTTTTGTAGTACCCGATGCCGAGAGTACGCGCTCACGGGGAAAATACGAAGAAATCAAAAAAACAAAATGTCGCCATAGCAAAGTCAGTGCCACAAACGCGTGCAGGGACGCGATCTTTCACGCGCTTCAGAAAAAAAATAAATAAAAATAAAATAAAATAAAGTAAACTTGTGGGACAAAATGGCGAGATGCCACCACCCTAAGCAAAGCACACATGAAGGCACCCTAGCCATATCCATTTCCGGTTGCCGGGTGTTGTGTGTGTTTTTGTAATGGGGCTCGCGCAATGATGAGCGCGTATTATTTTATTTTTGGCTCCGAACGATCAAGCTTTTTACGAGCAAAAGTTAATGTGTCAACGCTCATCGACCCGTTTGCAACGTTCGACCCAACGACTTCAGGAATGCTGAATGAACGAAGAGCGACGTGTGTACCCGTAAGTGACCTGACCTGAGACGAGCTATCTACATCGACACGACCGCGAGTGAACACAGATTCATACAGTTCCGCTTGACTGCGCTGTAACAGGTAACGATAGCGAGTTCGCGAAGCACGTGTGGATCGCCTATCGCGCGCGAGGCCGCTCCTCGAACTAATTGCCGCGCCTAAATTCATGCTAAGCAGCAGGGACACAACAACGAATTCAGTGATTCGTTTGTCACGCGACATACGAAGCACGGATGTCCCGGTATATTGTCTCGACGTAACGTTATCACACGTAGTCAAAGTTCAGACACACTGTGTGAGTTGAGGTGTGCTAGCCGAGAAACGGGTGGAGCCAGCGAGTGTTTTCAGGTCGCGTAACTACATGCAGGACAGAAAGAGAGAATGAGACGTATAGGGTATTTTAATGTTTGTGAAACACTGGCCGGTCTGCTGCCCTGTCCTTTCCGGGCACTACATACCCCGTAAGCCGGTGCAGGGTTAGTTAACTTTCGAAGAGTATATTTTTTTTTGTCGTAATTTATGATTGAATAGGATTATAATGCGCGCATATCTCCTTGAAAAAGACAACAAGGCGGTTATTACCTGATAAGTTCTTATGTTAAAGAAGTAAATACCTTTCGCGTGCTAATAAAAACCTCTTGGCCTTCCAGAAAAAAAAAAAAAAAAAAAAAACGAATTTACTTTCGAGGCTTGGTTTACAACTTCTCGCAATCGCAAAGTGCTTCCATAAACACATTACCAGGCGTTTCGGCGGAATTTACGTACGCGCAGCAGCACCAAAAGCATTCTGACACAAGAGTAAAATCACATAAGCAAGAACGCGTTCATTCCGAAACCGGAAATTATTTAGGCAACGAGGTGCCCGGATGAGAGAAAACCGGAAGTCGCCAAAAATGTGCGTACACTGTATCTCAAAAGGCACGAGTAGGCATTATTGATTATCGCAATGCGTAATGTAGGTCTACGCTCTGAATACTTGCGTGTTTGTGTTATTTGATAAACTGCACCACAATCCGCTAAAACGTGTGTCATAGTTTCTTTTTCGTTGATTTTATTTGTTCTGAAAATAAGGACAAATGGTGTTATGCCTTTAACACTGTCGTGGTTTCAGCTGCGAAGAGGGGTGGTCTGGTGGTCGCCCTTTTTCCACCGAGAATACATGATTATTGGATGTGAGATATCGGTCGCTCTTCTGTTCGTCTAATCTGATTTAAACAAATCAGTATATACACTCGGACACTTTCCAAAATGCAGCTCAAATACCCCAATGGCCACTATGACGAGAGCAAAATAACATTTACTTCGTAGGAGACATCGCCAAATGTGCATCAAAAGATTTTTATAGCTGTGATTAATGAACCGGAATATTTTAAACTTGTATTGTGTAGTGTGGAAATGCAATTGGAAAGACAAAAGTCATAGCGGAAGATTAAGCGTTAATTATAAAATGCAGCAAGTGCACGTTTTTGCTAATTCGTTTCATAGTTTGACAATCACTCTGGCTAGCTGCACGTAAAATGCATCTAGAAAACCGAACCCTTTTGTGTGTACTAAAAAAAGAAACAAAACGCTGAGATTAAATAGAAAGAAACACGAAAAGACATATAAATGACGAAAACGAAGCACAAAGAGTGGAAAGAAAGAAACCTTTCCTCACCTGAAATACTTTTGCACTAGAAAAGCGGCGACAGACATGTACGAGCTCAGTTCGGCTTTGTAGGCTATAAAGAGCCCACTGAAAAAGAAAGCAGAAGACATAAAAATCATTCTTGCCCGCCGTCATACTTCTTCGGAGGCATATATGGTATACGAAACGTTCGATATTAATTCGCCCCTCATGCTTTTTGAACAAATCGTCATACTTCACAATAGAATATGACACGCTGTGCCAAACGCTGTCACGTACGCTGTCAAGAAAAAGGTGTTCGCAGCCAGGGTGAAGTTGACAAAAGGGGAAAAAAGGATGTCACCGGAGATGCTGTCGTAAGCCCTCAACAACCCGCCTGAAAAGAAAAGAAGCAGAAAAAATAAGGTTAATGTCTCCGATACGACTCTTCTAACGCAGATTCGCCCGCGCAAGACTTACTTCGAGACTTCCTGAAAGTCTTATGATCCGCTTTCAGAAACGCTGTAATCTACAGTGGTTCGTCTCAGAAGTTCATAAAGTCAGAAAGTGCAACGGAGGCGGTGTCGTAAGGTAATCGATTGGAATGGGGAGGGGGGGCGTGATGCGCTTACTGAACATGTGCGTGTTCTCGGTGAGGAAGTAGGTGTGGCCACAGATGAGCCAGGCCATGCTGATGGCCTGCACCCCTTGGGCCGCCCCCAGGGCCTCGGGCTCCTGGGGAGACGTCAAACGACCCAGGTTTCTTGTGAACGAGAAGGACAGCAGGCAGTTGGTCAGGAAACCTGGGGACGGTCGAAAGTATTCGCGTCGATATCCACTTTCGGGGAATGTTCACTGACCGCGAAGGTTGTGCGAGTTGCCCGTGGCGACAACGAGTTTACGCCATATATTCTATCCGCACCGCCGAAGCTGCTAATTGTTCCGGACACGAAGGACCACGTATCTCTCGTGGTATTCGTCAAATGCCCGAGTTGATGTTTCTTGAACTTTCTTATACCGGGCTCTGATTCGACCAGAACAATCTCGATGGTATGGAATTAACATTACAGGTATGTTGTGAATGCTCGCCGTCAGCACGCGTTCAAAAGCAACAAACTCAGCTACAGTGGTTACGTGCATGGTATACAGGGCGCGGCCGTAAGGACCAGCATGCTTGGCACGCCTCGCAAAATTCAAATTTTAAACATACTTACCCAAAACTGTGCACGCGAACGTCGTTTTGTAAAAGGTTTTATATTTATTTTTCTTTTAGAGCTCAACTTAGAAGCAGTAAACGTTGAAAATAAAGCAAAAGCGGCGGCCGTCTATTTTCTGTCTTATATCAGCCTGAGTTGAGCTCTAAAAATAGTGACAAAACGTTTTCGTGAAATGAAGTTTGTGTGCCCAATTTCAGGTACGTACGATTAATATTAGATGTTTACAAAGCGCGCCAAATGTGCTGGTCCTTACGGACGCACCCTGAAGTTTACATAACATTTGCAGCACAATCATAATTTTGGGATTATGTTAGAGGGGAAATTAGGCATATATTCGTTTTTTTTCGAATCGGGTTTAAAATGTTAAGCTTTTGCTGAGAGACGATGTATGAGTATGCTCAATGGTACATTTACGATTCCTGCTCAAAAATCGTTTCACTTAATGAACGAACGTAACAGGAGTTTCAATATTCGACTTCAACGAGTAACTGAAGCAATTTATCATACCGGCTCCGGGCAGCGCCTTCTGGGCGTTGTCTTCCGATCTCACGTCAAGCACGGTCGCTACCAGGACCAAACAGACGAGCAGGCACAGCGAAAATCTGGACGAACCAAGAAAGAAAAACAATACTATTCAATTTAGCCGAACAGGGTTCATTCTGAGGTCATTCTATTCCGCAACTGGATCCTCCGTACTTTTATTGGGATGCAAGCCACCTGATTAAATACATCAGGGGTTAATGAAATTATATTTTCTTAATCAGACACGTTTGGACAACTGAGCTTATCAGTGAGTTGATGCAAATTATTAACGCTACTTCGCTACTCGGCAAACCACCGAGGGTTCTCCGCGAGCTTTCTGGGATTCACCTCATGCTTCTTGAGGTTCACCGCGTGCTTTTCCACTTACAAACGTAGCAGAACGATCAAGAGCACTTTGGTGGAGCGACAGCAGTGTCTTCACTAGACAGTATGAATAATCTCGGCGGCCGGTGTTTTACACATCATCTTGGACTTTTTTCAGTATGGCATTGCTGTCACCCGCGTGCTCACACTATGAAATCCCAACGAAGCGCCAACTCACATAAGAAAGCCCTGCAGACCGGACACGTGGGCGGCCTGCTTGACCTCACAGCGTGTCACCTGGGTCCTCGCGCCGATGGACTTGGCAGATGCTAAAGAGGAAGAAAAACAAACGAGACACATGAAAACAAATAATTGGTACTGGACCATAGTGCGGCTTGGATATATGTTGTATTGTACCGTAAAATGAACCGACAGTGATTAGCCCAGTCACTGTGCGTGATGTACATCTTTTATTCTATCTCTACTTCTTCCTCCTTTTCTCCCGCCAAATCCATCCAGTCCTAATTTCTTCTTTCTCAGTCAACACGACATACTCCCCTACAAGGTAAAATTATGTGTTACGGAGAGTAACGAAGCAATCGTCATTGACGGTCATCCGCTTCCACATCCGGAAGAAATATTTCACCGGCTGACAGGTATGACGATCTTCTCCAAGCTGGACCTCTCATCAGCTTACCGCCAAATTGAACTGGCAGAGCAGAGCAGAGACATTACAGCGTTTATGACGCATGAAGGTCTTTACCGTTACAAGAGGGTTTGCTTTGGACTAGCTTCGGCAGCTGCAGCCTTTCAAAAGATGCTGTCAACAGTGCTGAAGGGATGCCAAGGCACAGCTCACTACCTTGATGACATCCTTGTCGCAGGGTCATCTCAAAAAGACCTCTATGAAAACTTAAAGCGAGTTCTAGCACGCCTAGAGAAAAGTGGGTTGACGCTCAACAAGCAAAAGTGCACCTTTTCGGTCACGGAGTTGGGATATCTTGGACACCAAATATCCAAAGAAGGTATAAAACCAGCTGAAGGAACGCTCGACGCTATCAGCAAAGCGCCATCCCCTACAGATGTCAAGTCTTAGCATTCCTTCCTCGGACTTGCATCGTATTACTTTAAGTTTGTTCCACACTACGCAACAGTGGTTGATCCGCTCCGTGCCTTGCTACGCAAAGGTGTTGCTTTTTTGTGGACAGCTGAACATGAACATGCATTGAAAGAGGTGAAGAGTCTGATAGAGAACTGTGCTACTCTAGCCATTTTCGATCCTGCGCTACAAACGATGGTGACGACAAATGTTTCCAACTACGGACTAGGAGCTGTCCTACAGCAGCTCCATCGAGAAGGCGTCAGGACAGTGGCGTTCGCGTCAAGGACATTGCCTGAGACCGAACGAAGGTACCCCGTAGGAGAACGAGAAGCTCTGGCTTGCCTTTGGGCTTGTGAAAAGTGAACAACATTCCTTCTCGGAAGACGTTTCATACTACGTACAGATCACCAGGCCCTTGTAACATTACTTGCCACACAAGGATCGGGAAGGCAACCCATGCGCGTCGCCCGCTGGTCTGCAACGCTACTGCAGTTTAACTACGAAGTGCAGTACCGGCGGGGCGAAGAGAATGTGATTGCGGATGCACTTTCGAGACTTCCGGTTGTCACCAAACAAGACGCGTCAAGCGACGCAGAGGATGCCGAAATAATATGCGCAGTTCGAGCCCACCTGCGAAGCGTCACCTTGGATGAGCTTCAGAAGGAGACTTTGAAAGATGCTACACTAACAAAAGTGAGCGATATCATCACTTCTTCAAACCCTTCTGAGTTACAGGCACAACCTACCTTGTTACCCTTCTACAAACTTAAGGACGAACTCTCTATGGTGCAAGGCCTGGTTTTGCGTGAACAGAAGATCATCCCACCGACCACACTTCGTCGTCGCATCACGGACATCGCGCACGAATCTCATCCTGGGATTGTACGAACAATGCAGAGACTCCGAGACCACTATTGGTGGCCGAGAATGAACGGTGAGGTCAATGACTACATCACAAGCTGCATGGTCAGCCAACAACATGACAAGACCGTAAAAACCGCACCTGCTCCGATGCAGCCAGTACGTTTTCCAACAGGTGCATAGAAGCAGACAGGATTAGACTTCGTCGGGCCATTTACTAGTTTCCCAGGAAACTGGCGATACGCCATCACCGCTGTCGATTAATCCAGCAAGTGGCTGGAGGCCGAATTCTGTACACACCCAACGACAGATGCCGTGATAAGCTTCCTACAAAAAATCTTCAGTAGGGAAGGCTACCCCGAAGTGCTGGTGTCCGACCACGGTTCACAGTTCATGTACTCGCAGTTCAAAAACTTCAGGCAAGACAGAGGAATCATACACTCAAAATCGTCTATCTACTACCCACAGGCGAATGGACAAGTAGAGCGTTTCAACAGGGTGCTCAAAGACTACATAAAAAGCATCTTGTTACAGAAAGGCAACATCCAGACTGACCTGGTAGACTTTTTGGGAGTTTATCGGTGTACACCGAAAGCAGCTACAACTCTGTCACCCTCAATGTTACCACATGGACGACCAATGCGAACGAGACTGGACATTCTGGGGCTCCCGCATCCAGATATTTCAGAAGATGCTAGGAGCGCGATAAATGAACTTCGTGACAGGGTGAAGAAATATCAGGATAACTTCAAAAACTACGCTGACCAACGCCGAGGGGTAAAGAATCCAAAGTTCAGAGGAGGAGACTACGTACGTGTCCGACTTCCGGGACACGCAACAAGAGGTTCTTCATCGTTCAGTTCTGCAGTGAGGATTAAGGAGTCCCTCGGACCTGCAACCTTTCTAACAGAAGAAGGAAACTGCTGGAACGCTTCTAAGTTAACAAAAGCTGTTGCACCAACTGTTCCCGCTGCAACAACAATTATACCGGAAGATGAAGCATCCATCCGGTCCAGGCCTAAGAGAAATAAGCGGCCACCAGATCGTTACTCTCCGTAACATATAATTTTACCTTGTGGGGGAGTATGTCGTGTTGACTGAGACAGAAGAAGTTAGGACTGGATGGATTGGGCGGGAGAAAAGGAGGAAGAAGTAGAGATCAAATAAAAGAGGTACGTCACGCACAGTGACTAGGCTAATAACTGTCGGTTCATTTTACGGTACAATACAACAATATACTCTAGAGCATTTGTACCCACTTTCCCGCAGAACCGGCAGTATATCACCGTTTACAACGAAACGAGCGAATCCGAAAGCTCGGAACACTATTAGACGTGAAAATCGAGATGTGTGCATTGACACTGAGCATGATGTTCTATTTGCTCACTGTCTCCGTGTATATTATATTTTCGGGTCTAACCGTACGCTGGCGATTTCCTAGGTGGTGCACTCTTTCGAATTCAAATTCAAATTCAAGTTTATTTATTTCTCTTTACAGAAGAAGAGAGGAAGGAGGGGAAAAAGCAGTACAATAACTGCTTAACAGAGACTCCCCCAGCAGCAACAGCAGCGAATCTTATTTACAGCAATATTAAAAACCACAGCTATAGAAGAACAATATTTCGCGCACATAATTAATCTGTTAAAATGACCTTGGGGATCGAGACGAAGAGATAACGTATGAATTTATTGGGCCTATTCTAAGTTTGATACCCGATGATATCATACTACGGAATACTTTGGGGGCTGGAATTTAACAGTCTGGTTCCCGTAGCTTGTCCTGGAGCGCGGGAGAGTCCAGGCACCGGCATGACGGATGGCACATGAAGTACTCGTGGAGTGTAAAGTGTAAAGAAGAAAGACAAAGAAGAGTGCTATGCGGGTTGTTTAATGCGGCTTTGTATACAAGGACAAGGTTATACTCATAAAAAATTGTGATTTGTTATTTGTGATTTGCAATGATTGGCTACTAGCAGAAAAAAGCATATATTCATTTATAGATATGCAGTATCAATTTTTGACTAAAGCGAACGCTAAGCCAACTCTTGGCTATAGTTTTGAGTTTTTCCATGCATAGGCGCTTTAGTACTACAAGCGCGTCGAATTATTTGTCTTTTTCGCGTCTCATTACATCTAAGCTAAATCTTGCGTTCACATAATTATGCCCGAGTGCTCTTATATGCTTTAGTGTTTTTCTTCGCTAAAGTTCACTCCCATGCACCAGCTAAGTGTTACTGGATGCGGACTCAGAGATATCTGGGAGTGTAGACACAGCGTCGTTCTGCTTACGCGGAGTCAGACGTAGACGGGTCGACGTGTGAGTGTCCACTCTGCAAGTCCGATCGGCGGACCTCGGGTGCACTCACTGTGTGCGACGACGTTCTGCACGTCTTCCAGGGAACAGACGGAAGGCACGCAGATGCCTAGCCGGAACTTGCGGCTTGCCGCAGCCACCCGGTACACGATCTTGGTCATGCGCTGCGATGCACCAAAGAACGAAGCAACACGCGATGGGATTATTCGCGCCCGTGATGTCCACGTTTGTTTTTATTTATTTATTTTTCCACTCAGGGTGTGAACTATGAGGTATCTTAAATGGCACACACTCATAGTTTCTCTTCTTCAAACGCGCTCCTTATCGTCACGTTTTTGTAGTCATTCACCAAGAATGCTCAGTCATTATTGGTACGCCTGTTTCCAAGGAGCAAATTAAATGCATTTAGAACCAGCATATGAGCTCCCGATATCGACGCTGCGCCTGTCCTTCAACAGGCGCTGGTTCGGAGATTTTCTTTAACGAGTTTGTTGCGAAGTAATCTAAATTGCCCGAGAAACAGGGGTATATCATTTAAGGCGCTTAGAAGGGACGCCCTTGATCGAAATCTCTAGATTCTTAAAAGATGTAACTTCCGATGACGGTACTCGTCATGGTGGTCAGATGCGACCCTGTACCAGAGTCACCAGCAGTGCTCAATCGTACACAATGGGACTGGATACATCGTAAGCGGGCTTCCCGTATGTATTCGTGCTAACAGCGTCGAGCGCAGTGTGCACACCTTGGGGTGCCTGAGAAGCGTGGACAGGTGTGCGGCGGCGTCGCTCTCGTTGTTGAACATCTCCTGGACGTCGTGTCCCGAGGAGAGCATGACGGTGCAGTACTTGCCCCGGTACAGCTCCTTGGTCTTGTACTCGGCCACCAGGTCCATGCACTCGTCGTACGAGCCGATGGACGCCATGCGGCCTTCGAGCAGGCCCTCGGGAAGCTTGCCCGACGCGTCCATCACTGCGTGCGAGAAACGGCCGATCAGTCAAGTGGGCGATTATTCAGCGCGGCTTTCGTTTTGTTCGCAGTTTGTTTTTGTGTCTTAAAATAAACGTTTTGCTCACAAATTTGAGACGGACTTACAGACAAAAAGTTGCTCCGGGCAGCTTTTTGTCTGTGGGTGCTCCGTTGGCTTCAAGGCCGTAAATCGATTGATGGATTCATTCATTCATTAATTGGTCGATAGACTGACTCATAATTCAATCGACAAGTTCATTGCCTAAGTAGGTAAATAAGTTAATAAATTAATGATTTATTGATTAATCTATATATTTGTTGCTTGACCGATCGACTGATTGATCGGCTAAGTTGATCGATTGACTGATTGAGTGGTCGATTGATTGATCTATCGAATGATCGATCGTTCGATTGATTGTCTGATTTAATTTTTGCATTAACGAGGACATCAAACTGTATTGGACGCACTTTGTCCAGTTTGCTTTCCACGGCGCTCGGTGTTTACCCGACACAAGGCCTGTGGACTGGATAATTTATGTTATCTTCCTCGATCGAGCGCTGGGCACGGATTGGGTGCGAGTGCTGTGTCAGCGCTCGGCTGGGACGATAGTGTTCAATTGGTGCTTTACTGACCGAACACAAGCACCAGGCGAACACCTGCGCAGCGTTCGGCTAACTCAGCCAAGCGCGGCGTCAGAAACATGAGCCATCGTTTCACGTTGTTTCGTCTCCCCACAGGTTTAATTCTCAACTTAGCCACTAGTGGCGCGACAGTTTGATGTCCTACTCAATAGAGGGTACCTTAGGAACAAGATACTCTCCTCGTGTGCCGCTGTGTGCTCATTTGTGCGATATCATCAAGAAAATGACTGTCTGCAAGTAGACGCGGAAATTGGCGTCACTGGAGTTTTGTGCCTTACGTGTCCACGTAAGGCACCTCAACTATCTGTTGGCGTTGCCTATTTTAGCACACTCTAGTAATGGCGGCCAAGGCAAGATTGAAAGAACATTGTCAAGAGAAGAAAGGAGGCGAACGGTCGAGGTAGAGTCAGGAAGAACGGAAAATAAAATAAAGCCGGAGCACAATATTCGAAGGGGGTTAATAAAAACTTTAAAAGGTTTAAACAGCGCAAACAACGAGGGACGAGAAGCAGAAGGACACGTACTTAGAGCTGGGTTAGTAAAAACGTAGGATTATTAGCGTAGAGTTAGTAAAAACATTTGTAGCCAGTAAAAACAAAAAAGATGTTTTAAAAGTGCGTGAGGAATTAAATCTTGCTTCATCGCTAGTGACATAAACCTTAATTGGGGGTACATTCATGTAGGATTTAGTATTACGTTGAAACGACGAGTTTCTTCTCAACTCCATTCCAAATAAAGTGTCATTCGCACGTTTGCTCAACAAATGCGTGGCCCATTATTGTCGCCATTTTTGCGAGCGAAAAAAAAAAAGGCACTGAATCCCTGATTGCAGTTTTCTTATTGGTCCACTATCGCTAGAGTATTCAGGTCCTGCTATTGGTCAGGATAATAATCTATGTAAAAAAATAAAGAATGTTTTGTTCGAAGGTGAGGCGAGATCTTGTGCCAGAAAAGCTGCCTGCAGCGTTTGAGGGCAGGCAGGATGTCCCAAATATTTTCAAGTATTTGTAGCCTCTCTCGCGTTGCACCGCGGAAGAGCATTCGGGATTGCGAGAATATTGATGATTATTTTCTGTTTTGTTCACCGAAGTCAACATGTTGGTCTCTAACAGCAAATTAGAAGCGTATTCATTTACGCCGGAACTCGTGTCGACTCGACGGCCCTTTGGAGCACTTGCCTCAAAATTCACAAGACAGCTACATCGCAAGAAAAGGCAAGTACTTTTGGTCACACAGCCACATGTCTTTTCCTTTGAAGGTCTCGAATACTGCAGTAAACTTATAGTGACACAAAAGTGCGCTGCATTAGGGCTAAAATGAAATTTCCGTAGAATGTTGTGACACATCCACAACATTCTACAACAATAAATATAATTAAACAACGTAATCCTAACGCTTATGACAAAATAATCTCCAGATTTTTTTTTACGCCTATTTTACGCCATCTTAGAGTTATTTTTGAACTGAGACTTTAAAATATGGGCCAAGGTTGACTCTTAATACCATGTTATAAAATTGCAAACCGTACCATCTACAATAGTTTACTCCAGCATAATTTGGCATTAGCACTATACGTGACAGATTTTCACGGATGGAGTGAACGCGGATGGCGTGACGTAGATAGCACGAATAAGCGATCCGCAGTTCTTCGCAATTTTTTCTCGCCACTTCAAAGCTGTCATAAAACCTATTAGTGTAGTACAATGCGTTCATTATGCGAAACAGATCAGGCGCTAAAATATTGTGCTTGGGAGAAGAGCGTGTTGGTTTAAGTCATGAATGAAGAAAGAATAAAACAATTAAAACAGGGACAACGCAACCACATCTTTCATGAAAGATGTGGTTGTGTTGTCCCTGTTTTAATTGTTTTATTCTTTCTTCATCCATGAATAAAATATTGTGCGTGCAAATAAGCTGTCCAGGCGAAAATCCCCGATACCGGCGCTGTCGTGTGCGCGCTGTTCCGCTCAGCGCATATTTGGTCTTGTCACGTGTTTTGCTCCGGCGCTCTGACTGCCTCGCTAGAACCGTATAGGGAGAGTGGGGCTATAGCGTTGCGCATATATTCCCGTATCTGAGGATTAAACGGTCCAACTAAGTGGAGTGTGTCGTCTCGTTCTTTACCCTTGTCCGTGCCTGTAAGCGCGACCATGCCTTCGAAGACCACAGGGAATTAATCGTCACGCGGCAAGCTCTACGTTATGCGTCGGAACGAATAGATACGCCACCGTTTAGTATGAAGTGTTTTGTGCCTGAAACACGAGGGATGAATGTGGAAAGACGCTGCGATGCTCCTTCTCACTATAATCTGTCGCAACGTAGCATGTGCAGCAGTAGGTGCGCCTCTAACGCGAGCTTTCCAGTTTTGATAACACTTCGGCGCACGCTCATCCCCAGCACGACGGAGGGCACTGAACACGCGCTGGAGGCGGATCTTTTAATGCAGACGTTATGTTGTAACAGGCTATAGAACGGGACTCTCAACTAGTCTTTAAATGTTTTACGGCAAAATTTGTTATAGGCGAGGTTTCGCAGCGGATCCAGGAGTGTTTTTCTTGTCAGGTCGTCCTGACTGCCGTTGCGATGTCGCGTAACGCTCATATTACGTGATGCCTTGACTGACATAATGATGTCACGGCCCGTAATACGATTACGCCACGTGACATCACGGTTAGTGTGCAGCGTGACTGTGTGTAGTCTGTGTGCAGCAGAGTTTATAGCGTCTTAGTTGCGCCGCAGTTTATTGGAGGACACGGCAAGGAATGGGAGTTTCCTTTTAGTTCTAGCACCACACCTATCACCTTTTTTAATATATATTACAATGACCTCATTGTAGTTTATTCTCATCGTCCCCCCCCCCAAGCACACACACTCACACTTCCATTGACACCAGAGGAGTCGGCGAAGACAAGTGTTCAGACGAGCCTCTTTGCGTTTCGTTCAGAAAACATTTACGGCTACTTTAACCGTTTCTGTTTTCCTCCACTACAGTTTGGCCTTCGGTGCTGCACCGCTTCTTTCAACAAGATGATAACGGCAATTCGAGAGCAATGACTCGAAGCGTCGCCGACGTTTCCTCTAATCCGCTTAAGCGTTGCACGTTTTATTCTCTAACCTTTTAAACGAGGAAAGCAACAGGAGTAACGAGAAAAAGCCAGTCGTACACAGGTCCGCATTTCGTCGCCGAGAAGGCGAACCACCGTAAAGCACGAAGGATCGCGTCTCCTCCGCATCTCGACGAGGACGTTTTCTTCCGCGACGCCATTGCAGTGACCCAGTGAACCCAGACGTCGCTGTCGGCATCCAGTCTTCGACGACCATCGCGAGCTGGTGACTTGCAACACGTTCTAAAAACAAGTTTTCACGCTATATAAACAAAAAGAAAGTAAGTAAAGCACCGTTTGATCTGCCGCTTGATCTCAACCCCTTTCCCCTTTTTTCCTTTTAGGCTAAATCCCGGTTTCTTTTGAGGAAACTTTACGCGCAGACTGACCAAATTGGACGATAAACAAAAGTTGCATATGTCTGTGTTTGTCTTTTCTCTATACTTCGTTTTACACCTTTTCTGTATCAGTTAATCGAAGCCTGCCCCGTTTGGGACCTGTACGCGCAACCGCGTTGTGATTATGCGATGTGTTTGAAGTCACAATATATTGATATCCGGGAGTTTTTGCGCTACAAATGCATGTAAGTCACAAGAACAATCTACTCAAACTTCCCACTGTTCGCTTTGCATAGACCAATAGAACTTCGCGACATATTTTTTGAAGTTAAACGGCAGAATGCAACACTGTCACGAGTTTCTGAGTGTATATTTCATCGTGATTGGCTCAAACATAAAAGTTCTTCTTTCTGTAATCAGCTCAATCAATCAGAAGGGTGATTGGATCTATCTATGCCCAATGATTGGCCACGTGAGCGCTGCGACAAAAGAGATCGGGGAGGGGGGGGGGGGGCACTTAGGTCTTATAACTGCTGGGAACACCGTTGGCCTTTCTTGTTGACTAGTTCGAGCAAGAAAAGACAGGTGATTGGCGTTCATAGTGTATCGCGGAGCAGTGTGCACGTAGGAGATTCTGAGTGTAGGCTCCACCGGCGGTCATTGCCACCCGGTGATCTGGCCCCGTGCAGTGTGTGACGCAAAAGAAAAGACGAAGAAAAAAAGAAAAAAAGAGAAGCCCAGCACGACAGGCAGAAGTGTGGAGGAAAGAGGAAACAAAGTCTGCGTCATCGCTAGGGGGCAGCGGCTCGTCTCTGCACATCGAACGACGAGCGGTCGGTCGCCTCTTACACGTGCAGGCAGGTATACGTTCGTGCCTGCCCACTCAGAAAGAAAAAGAAGAGAAAAATGGCGTTCCAGA